TCTTTGCATTTCACAGGTAAGAAAACCAGGCACAGACAGGCTGAGCGGTTCACCCACAGCCGTGCAGCTGGAAAAGGGCAAAGCTGAGATGCCAACCCGGTCGCAGCCCCGCCTCCGCCTCGTCACCATTGGAAAAGCAGGCATCTCGGTCCACCCTTCCCCTTGTAGACATCACACGTCTAGTCTAAGAAATGAAAATAAATCTGCCTCCGCTTTAGACGTGAATTTAAATTAGTTTCTCTGGCAGTCGTTAGCCAAAAGCTATCTACTCTTTCATGTAAATCAAAATTGAGAAAAATGCCCACTTCGGGAGTGAATATGCTTGTAATTGTATGCATATATCTTTTCTATGGCCGACCTTGAGTGTGACGCTGCTTAACGACTTGCTCACGCCTTCCTTTCCCCTTGCCCGTCCAGCATCCATCATCTCTTTCAAAACTAAGTTCAAGGCCCCCTTCCTGCACAGGGCTTCCTTGACTAACTCAGCCTGTCTCAGCACCTCTCCACATTGGCACACACTGGTTTTCTTCCTCTTTGCCCTCATTTCCACATTATCCGATTACTCTTATTTGATCTTATAGACCCTGTGTGTGCCTAACAAGTGTATTTTGTGTTTACAAGTAGCATGTTGGCTCAGGGGCCCATGCCCACAGACCTTCCTTTCCTAGGCAGGTCTGCATGGGAGCAACAGGTTAGCAAATCTGAGTGTAATGGACATGAGCTGCATCACAGAATACCTCTTTTTTCAGAGATTTTTTAAAAATTTATTTATTATCTAGAGAGAGGGGAAGGGAGGGAGAAAGAGGGGGAGAGAAACACGTGTGGTTGACTCTTACTCAGGCCTGCAACCTAGGAATGTACCCTGAGTGGGAATTGAACCAGTGACCCTTTGATTTGCAGCCTGCGCTCAATCCACTGAGCTACACCAGCCAGGGCTGCATCACAGAGTATTTCTAACAGAAATGAAGTAAGGTTAAGAGCATTTACTGAGGTCCTCAATGAGCATTTATTAGGCACCTCACGTGCACCCAGTACCATAGTAGAGACCTGGTTTTCTTCCTTGATTCTCTTCTCATTCATGACATGATAGAGACCATTACAAAAGAAAACTCTGACCTTGACTTTTTCCTTTAATCTGTTCTTTCAACAGGTAGAGCTCTCCCTCTCTCTTAGTCCAAACTCCATCCATTCTTAATCATTCATTTCATATGCACTACATATGAAAAACCATTGCCATTTATATATGAGCTGGCTTATTCCTTACAACTCTAAATCGGGCATTGTCTCCACTGTCCAGACAGGCAGCTTGTGGCCTGCTAAACGCAGAAGTTCCCAACTCCACAGTCTCACAGCCACACCTTTGCCGCCCCTGTTACTCCAGGATTGGCAAACGTTTTCTGCGAGGGGTCACACGGTAAACACTTTCAGCTCTGGAAGCCACACAGTCCATCGCAACTCTGGCCTTGCCGCACAAGCAGGCACAGACTGAAAACTAAAACAACGGGTGTGGCCGTGTGACAGGACCTCACGCCAGACTCGGGCTCTGTCTCGTAAGCTCCCCCTCTCTGTGTGCAAGCTGCGTGTGACTCTAATGGATTATTGCAGAGTTGCCCCTAAGGACCTGGCATTGTGGAAAGACAACCGTGTGAGTGACTCCTTTTGAGGAGGTTTCCTTGCTCATGACCACCTGATGACCCACCTGATGACCCTGAGGACTCTTTCCCATAAAGGAACAGTCACTAAGGTGACTGATAAGCCCTACTTCACCAGAGAGCCTTCCTCCCCACCCCACGTCAGGAGTTTTCTCCTCCTCTGGAGTTCCTGCTCCCATGCCCCAGTGGCTTAGGACACCCAACCCTAGCGCTCTGTCGCCATCACTGCTCTCTTGCCCTAAACCCACCTTCCATCTCCCTGCAACTGGCACTCACCCACCCCTCCAACTCTGCAGCCTCTCCAGGTAACACATGCTCACACAGCTACCAGTTTCAAAGCACGCCGACTCTTGGGCACTGGGACTGGCAGGGAATGAGGAGGTTTCCAGGCTCTGCCAAATGTTACAGAACCACCCCTTCTCCCTCTCCACCCCGCCATCTCCAGATGCCACCCTCCTCTCCATATCCTGAACCCAGAAGAGTGACACTTTTTTCAAGTTATTTCAGGGGAAAAAGCAATCCCCTTTCCTCCATGTATAACTGTACACTGCTCTGCCCAACCACCATCTGCAACTTCTTTGGCTATTTTATTCTGCAATGGAAATAGTGAAATGGCTGAGACCATGGAGTTTGCTTTGCAAAGGCAAATAATGCAGCTTCTCCTTTCCACCCTCCTCTGACAGAAACTGTTCATGGTTGGAACCCCACCTAAGCATGTATTCTGTTACGGAAAAAGTGAACTTCCCAAGTTTCATCTGGGCTTTGGGTTGATGAAGTCATTTAGGAAATGTTACTCATCAGCCTTTGGTGACCCAAGGGTGGGCCTAGGGCACGATTTGGAGTGAGGATGCCCTGGGGAAGTGAGGGAAAGGAAACAACAGCCTCCTAAGCAGGTGGGCTCCCTGGGGTTAGGAGATGACCGCATTGTGAATCACCGTTTGACTGTTTGACTGTCACTGGATTATCCCCAGGAAGCAGGGTTTGGACGGGGGAGGGCTGGGGGTGCGGGGAGCCAGCTGGGCTGCAGAAAAGAAAAGGCGTCTGGTACCCAGTTCTTCTCAACTAGAATGTTTTCTAAGGCTACAACATTGTTCAAACTGTACTATATCCAGTATGTGTATACCTTGAACTCATAGACAAAAATATTACATTTCTTCATTTATTCAGTAATGTGTTATTCAATAGAGCTGTTAACATACATTTTATAAAGTCAGTTGGGATTTATTTCAGTTATAATCCTCACTTTACATTTTGGAGATACTTAAGATTTTGTGTATGCTGTTCACAAACATAAAATTATTTTCTAGTTACTGAACCAATTCCTTTTCAGGAGCAAATACCTTATTTTTCATTTTTTTTTTAAAGTTTGATCATTATGATTAATTAAATCTGTGGAATTTCACTGAATTTTTATGGATCATTCTTACTTAGTTATTCCCCCAAGTCCAAATAAATCTGATATATCTATATCCAAGGAAAAAAATACCATGTGTTTTACCATACTACATACTTATTACAACATATATTTAGCAATACAGATTGCATTGTTGGTAATTAGGTAAAGGGGAAAACATGTCATATTTTCATCTTGTTTTCATAACTAATTTTGAAAATGGATAAAGTAATTATACCTTACCCCATTTTCATCTTGATTGCTTTTAGTACAATAATAAATCTTTTAAGATTCATTTCATGACTGTCTCTACCGTCTTCATTATACTCCTCAAAATGCATGACACTTTATTGAAATTGAAGCAATTAAGTCAAACTGTTTCTGAGGGAAAGTAAATCCAATTTGGCTAGTGTGAGGATGAAAACAGGCTCTGTGAATTAGGTTATATGACAAACATTTTTCATACTTGACAGTTTCACCTTGAATGAGCTGAATCATAAACTGCAAAGTTTTGGCAAAAACGAAATTGAACCACCTAACAACAATAAAAAGCATTTTATCCAAAACTTCCTGAGAATGAAAAATGGTTAGATTTTCCCCTGAAGTTTGAGTGTATCAGGTAAACATGGTACATCTCATTGAGGGGAAAATAGGTCTACTTCAAAGTCATTTGATGTCCTGGGAAAACCTATTTGGTGTATTTCTTAGAAACTGGAAAAAAACAAAGATCCCCAAAGGAGTAACGACGAGGTAAACAAATCCTTTGGCAAGTCAGGTGGTTTTCAATTATTTACTTTCAATAAAATTGGAGGGCCTAATTGAATAGTCACCTCACAGGTCATCAAATCTTATTTTTCGAGATGACGAATTGAGTGGCATTGCAACAATAAAACGCCGTCCCCGGGTACAGTACTTGTTTATTATGAACAGGGCTTCTGAGAGCATGCAGCTATAAAAACTAGAAATAAATTGATGTGCAGCCCTTCTGGTTCTATAGCAATGACATATTCATCCGCAAACGTACGAATTTTAAAAAGCAATGATTGCCATTTCTTCCATCGAGGGGCATTTTCCAATAACTTTCACATTCTACTTAATAGCTATGAAAATCGGTAATATTTATTTTGCTTTGATCGTGTACTAATATTTTAAAGATAACAGTCCAAAATCAGGCGATTTGCCTTCTCTGCAACCTCCAGCAATTTAGCTCATCGCTCTGGGCCTCAGTTTCCCGCTTGGAGAATTGAGGGTTACGGTAGGACCCAGAGTAGTGTTGTCGCAAAGACTGAATGAGTTAATACAATAGACGCTCTTGACGCCAAGCCTGGCACACAGTGCATGCTATGCAGGCGTGACCTGCTACGATTATAAGAATCAAAAGCAAAACCCTTAAAATTAACAGCCTGTGGATTCGTCTTCACGAGCAGGAAAACGGCGCTGGAGGGACCGGTTCTAGCCGGCTGGCCTAGGGGTGGACCCAAGGAAAAAGGGATGGAGTGGGGACCAGGAGGCCCCTGGAGCTACCTCCTTGCAGGAAAACTGGGAAGGATCATGAGAACGAAGGTTTGGTTAGAGTTTAGAATAAGCAGTGGATCTCGACTGATTCGTGCAACAGGAAAGCCAGAGCGTCAAGCCTAAACGCCAACGATGGCCCGGGGCCAGCGTCTCGCATCCCCGCGCGGGACGGCTCCGAGCAAGATCCCAGTGGACCCTCGGCCACCGGGAGTCGCACGGGTGGGACGCTGGCCCACAGTGGGTTCCAGCCCCAGGCCCGGCCCGGCCCGCTGCGCCTCCCCGCCACCTCCTAGGACGCAACCCGGCCTCCCGAGCGCGCCTGCGCGGTGGGCGGCCGGAACTGGCCCCCGGCGGATTCCGTCGTTGGTCCTTCGCTGCTATTGTCACCGCCTTTTCCTCCTCTTCCCCTGGTTCCCTTTCACTTCCGGGGCCGCACGGGATCCGCTGGTTCCGTAACAACATCCCGTTGGCCTCCCTCAGGTGGCGGGACTGGTGCAGCCGCCGCCGCCTCCCAGGAGCGCCCGCTCGCCCGGGCTCGCGCCCTCGCCGGCCCAGGCCGTCATGGCCACCAACCCGCAGCCGCAGCCTCCGCCTCCCGCGCCGCCGCCTCCCCCGCCTCAGCCTCAGCCCCCGCCGCCGCCGCCCGGCCCCGGGGCTGGCCCCGGCGCGGGCGGGACGGGCGGCGCAGGGGCCGGCGCGGGGGACCCGCAACTCGTGGCCATGATCGTGAACCACCTCAAGAGCCAGGGGCTCTTCGACCAGTTCCGCAGGGACTGCCTGGCCGACGTGGACACTAAGGTGCGGGGCGCGCTGGCGTGCGGGGCCAGGGGAGGACCCCCGGGGCTGCCTTCTCGCGCGCCCTCCCGCGCGCTCGGGGCAGGGCTGCGCCTCTGCCGCCCGGACCGGGGCCCTTCCGAGCGCCGCTCCGCTCGTTCCCGTGCAGCCGCTTCCTTCTCGGGCTGCCGCTCGTCGCCGGGCTCCGTGCACGGCGCGGCTCGTTCATTCATTCGCCCGCCGGGGCCACCGTCCCGCCGACCCGTGGGTGCCGAGCACCTACTATGCAGCTTAGGCGCTCGGAATGTGCCCGTGAGCGAGACTCCGTTATTCTTGGGCAGAGGCGTTTGGAAACACTAACCACTGCTTTCACCTCTGGTTCTTTTTTTTTTTTTTTTTCTTTTCCGCGGTTTACTTTGTATCCATGCTCCTCTCTTCAAGATTTCTGGGCGGGAAGTGTCATATCCTCGTCCTTTGGAGAAGTTACCTGGCCGTCGAGCCGAGTTATTTGTCGTGTGCATTACTGGATGAGGGTCGGGGGGTGGGGTGCAAAGGTAAGCAGGTGGAGCTGGACCGCGAAAAGGTAGGTTGAGGGCATCAGGACTTCAGTGCCTACCCGTGACCGTCTGACTTAGGTAACTTAGGCCAAGCCTCTCCTCCAAGGGGAGAATGGGGTTTGGGGCGGAGGGGGGGGGGGGGGGGGGGGGGGGGGCGACCGAGCCGTCCGTTATTGCGTGGAGGAAGGATGGAGGGCCAGTGACCGCAGAGGAGGAAGGGGAGGAGGGTGAGGAGGGCAGAGTTCAGTGTGAGAGAGGGAGGAGAAGAGGGGCCAGGTCTGCAAAGGGGGAGGGCGGCGTCAGTCCCACGTGTCCGAGTGCAGGAGTCAGGTCGTCTCACCTGGTTTGGCCAAGAAGGAGCAGTCTTGGTGAGAGGGATGGAAACCAGTGGAGTCTGGAATTGTGGAAGCAAGTGAGGCAGGAAGCCTCCGTTGGGGGTGATTGTAAAATTGTTTTTTTGTTGTTTTTTGTTGTTGGTTGGTTGGTTGGGTTTGGTCCTTTGGTTGGTTTGGTTTGGGGCAGTGGGGCCGGGGGAGGTAGGTTTGGTTGGTTTTGGCGGAGATCTGGTTGGGTCCATGGGACAGCCCTGATGGGGTGGGAGCTCCCTCATCACATGCTCAGCTGTTCTGAGGAGCCTCCTTTCTCTGGGAGGGGAGTGTCTGCGACGTCCACCAGTTCTTCCCTGCGGCTCTGTGCTCACTGGCCTCGGGGGTGAGCTGCGCACACACAGCCCTGCTGTCTCCTCTGGGGACACCTCGGTGTGAATCTAGGAGCGTCTTTCTTTCCAAGAACCCTGGCCCACCGCGTAGACCAGAGTACACACAGGGTGCCTTTTCGGGGCCCTGGAGTTTTTGCACCACCGAGAATTCGGTTTACGTGGAATGTTTATCTCCGCAGGAAGTATGTCGTTTTCTCGCTTTGTTGTAGGGAGTATGCACAGCCGCCTCTTTTTAAATAATGCCTACTGCCTTTGCCTTCTTTTATAATTTTTAATGGGAGAAGGTTAGATAGATAGATACGGTAACATTTATCTAAATGTTACCCAGATGAAGCTGGCTGATTGTACCCTGCAAGTAGAGATTTCACTTTGCTTTTCTCGGAAACCTACAGATCTGTTCTTGTGTATGCAGATTGAAAAATTTAAATATACTGATGGGGGTACCATAGATAAGGCTCAGGCTCTTCTTCGCTCTGTCCCCACTAAGTGTTATTGCTGTGTCTGATATTTCTGCCAGACCCTCCAAAAGTGCAGCCTTTATAACCTTTCTCGGGGAGAAGGAGAAAAGCACAATTTCTTAGACAGTGGAATGAAATCTAGGATCTTCTCCCAAGAAAGATGCGCCCATATGTATTAGAATGCTGCTTTTACAGTTTGGAAATGACTGACTGTCTGGCAGTGTCTGTGGCTCAGCCTCCTATGTAGCTTCAGAGAGTGTTCAGGGAGCACAGAATAAGGTCTCCTGTTTGAATGTTTGATGCTAGAAAAGAGTAGAACTGAAATCAGACCCATTCCCAGCGGAGTTTGGTCTTGTGTTCTGCCTCTCCCCCCCCCAAAGTAGTAAGTTTGAAAGTCTCAAAAACATACAAAAGCCTATAAAAGACTTTTATAGGAGAAAAGAAAACTTTGACGTTCCTATCAGTGTGGCTGGTGGGCCAAAGTAGATGTAAGATTCCCAGTTCATGCAAGGAGTGTCGCTTTAATGGAATCCTGGGGTCTCATCTGTTCGGAACACCTTAGAGTTTAGACCATTCGTGTTGTGGAGCTTTTGATCCCTGAACCCTTAAGACCGACTTCGCCAAACTATGACCTGCAGTGTACAGTACAGAGGGTTGTGGCAGTCGCTGCATTGTCAGTCACATGCATCGTTAAGAATCAAGACATTTGATACCTACCAGATGCTCTCCAAGAGCAACACTATCATCCAGCCCCGTGTATCAAAAGCAAGATGAGAAGTTCCAAAGGCCGCTGCCACTCCAGAAGACCACAGAATCCCTCAAACTGTCCTGGGGTCATCGCTGGTCCAGCCAAAAGAGATCTGAGGGTAGTAGACTGAATCGACCCTCCTACCCAAAGAACCGGAACCTTGGGCAGCCCCAGGATCCAACTAATGCTGAGGCTCCCGTGCTCCAGACCCCCAATTCCCACATCTGTGGAGAAAACCAAGAGGTTACAAAGCCATTCTGACCCCTTTGCACTGATGAGCAACTGGCGAGTGTGAGGAGGGAATGTTGAGTGGTCCACCCTTCTTCCCCAGGCTGGGAGCTTACCAAACAAGTAAACAGGGCACCTCTCCCCAGGTAACAGAGGCCAGTTTTGTGGATACATTCTCAGGTGCAGATGACTCCTGGCCACTGGTTATTATTGTCTGTGGTTTTTTTTCCCCTTCGATTTGAAAGGAAATTCGATTTTAGATTAGAACAAAGACGAAACTGTATACATTTATATACCCGACAAATATTTACGATGTACCAGACGCAGTTTTAGATATCGGGGATGCAGCAGTGAACAAAAAGTGCCAGCTGCTTTGGAACTTAATCCCAGCAGAGAAAACCAGACAATGAATACTGCGAGGTGGGGCCGATGGAAGAGAGGAAGCGGGATGGGGCTGCACAGGACTGACTTGTTTTGAGCAGATTCAGGGGCGATTGCAAGTGAGAAGCCGTGTGGCCTGGCCCGTCCCTGAAGGAGCTGAGGGCGCTGCAGCCCTCTGGGGCTGAGAGTCCCAGGCAGAGGTCACAGGCCGCAGGGAAAGCCTTGGGCGGAAAACGGTGGGGAGAAAGTGACGAGGGGGAGTGGTAGGAGCGCCCCTCCCTCCCTTCACGGCTCCAGCTGGCCCTGGAGGCCTTTGGAAGAGTTTACCTTTCACCTAAGCGGAGAAGCCTTCGGCAGGTGTTGTGCCTAAGAAGGACGTGCTGACTTCCGTTTTAGATGTGGTGGCCGTGTGTCATTATTAAGGGGGTCCCCTTCACGCTCAGTCGTAATCTGGTTTGGACAATAAATTATATGGTTGCCCTAGTTTTAAAAGATTTGCAGTAGCTGCTGTATAGAAAATAAACTCCAGGTGGGCAAAGGTAGACACAGGAAGACGAGTTGCTGTGATCTAGACAGAAGAGAATGCTCAGGGCCAGACTGGTAATGGGAAGTGGTCAGATTCCAGATGCCTTGTGAGGCCAGTGCTGGCAGAATTTGTTGATGGCTTGGATTTTCGGTGAAAGGGAAGGGGAGGAGTCAAGAATGACTCCAAGGCTTTTGACCTGAGCACTGGAAAAGGAGGAAGAGATAGAGAAACATTCCCAGAAAAATAATGGAATCCTTCTGTCTTGAGTCACCAGGCTTTTTACTGAAAGGAAAACTGAAAACAAGGACAATTACCTGTTGTTCAAATTTGAGCTTGTCGTAGGACGACTAGCGTGCTAAGGGCCTTGTGATGTTTTTAGCTTAATATTTCTGAGATTTGGGAGTACTGGCAAGAAGAAATATCTTGTACAGTTTTGCTGAAAATCATCAAGAGAAAGGATTAGTTTTTTAGTTCATATCGATTCGGGATAAGTGGAGAAGAACATGACAAATGACCACGAGACTGTTTCTTGTAGGACTGGTCATAGGAATTGAATTAGCGAAAGTCTGGAGACCGGAAGGGATACAAGAGCACCACCAAGGGGCAGAGCCGTCATCCCTTCCAGAGACGGTTCCCCTGTCATCTCTTCTAGCGCCTGTGCTTCAATTGCTTGTCTGCCAAGCAGTGTGATAAGCTTCCTAAAAACAAAGGTCAAGAGAGTGGAAAGAGCAGGCTTATGCTTCAGCGGGGAGGTAAAAATCCGCCTTCCCAAAATGCAGCGCAGCGCAAGGACTACTGAGATGGTAGTACGCAGAGAAAACGGAGACCATGGATAGGGTGAGCTCTGCAGGTGAGAAGTTTGCCAAGTGGACAAGTAGAGGGAATGGTGGCTGCAGAAGATTAAAGGCATGAGAGCTTACCGCTGAAGGGTAAGGGAGCAAATGGTGGGAGATGAGGCTGTAGAGTTTTGTGTAAAGTCATTTGGAGACTCAAATCCATCTGCACTGCAGCCACTTAAAAGAAAGATAAGAAGAATGTGAGTGGTGGGAGACAGTTAGGAACAGAGCGTATAGTCCTGCTTGAGGGCCAGACATTCCTTCTAGGCAGTGGCCTTTTAAGAAGAGATGATGTAATATGTGTCCCCTGCCCTGCTTCCCGTACATCAGGGGTTGTCAGCCTCTGCAGTGTTGAAATGTTGAGCTGGGTGGTTTTTGTTGTGGGGAGTTCCCCTGTGCGTTATAGAATGTTCAGCAGCATCCCCACCCTCCACCCACTAGATGCCAGTAGCAGCCCCCCTCATTTGTCTCTAGACATTGCCATGTGTCCCGGGGGTGAGAGTGGGGGGTGGCCACTCAGGTTGAGAGCCACTGCCTGACATCAGATGTAATGCCTAGTTCGGTGGCTGTCCCTCCATCACCTCTAGGATCCGCGCCTGCCAGCCCATTTCTGCCACCCCAGTATGACCCCCATCACTCTGTTGCACACTGTGTGAAGTGTATTTTGTGTCTCTTTACTCTTTCACTGTAAGAAGATTAATCATCAGAAAGCCCAGCTATCACCATATATCACTCTGCTCATATGTGCGGTGACTTACCATTCTCTATCCCATAATTCCAAACTTCTTACTCAGGTCCCCAAGTCCAGGACCTGGCCCCATGCTATGTCTCCGGTCTCATTTCTCTGCTTTTTTGTATTCTCTTCTCCAACCAAATCGGACTTAACAGTTGCCCCGGGGGTCGGGGGTGGGGTTCAAATGCTCCCAATCTCTCGTCCACTTGCTGTTTGCTTATATAGTTGGCTATGCCTACCAGGCAGTCTCCGAATCCCCAGCTGCATTGTGAAACCCTGAAGGTTCAGTTAATATGCCACATTCTCACTGAAGGCTTGCTTCTCTTCTCCTCTCCCTTTCTTTGCTCCAAATTATCGCAGTAACATTTATTGGTGCCTTGTTTTCTTTGCCCTTCCTTGTCTACAAATGACAGGTATGCCTTTCTTTTTTGTACTCCTCCTATCTTCAAACATAAACTGGAAAACTTTGTTGCCATGTTGATACTCTAGTCTAAGAAATGTCGATACTGTTAAAGAAACTCAAATCCTGAAAATGTCAGTATTGTTTGTATAATATTAGAGATTTTCAGCATCTGTGTCTTTTTTTCTTTCTAGCCTGCTTATCAGAACCTGAGACAACGCGTTGACAACTTTGTTGCAAACCACTTAGCAACTCACACGTGGAGTCCCCACCTCAATAAGAACCAGCTAAGAAACAATATTAGACAACAAGTACTCAAGTAAGTCTCAGAATTACAGAGTTCCGAGCCAGGCCTGAAAATGTCACGGCCTGTTTTGCCTAAAAGCAGAGGCATTATGCAGAAGTTTGTTCACCTCGTGCTGATTTTGTGAAGTTTGGCTCCTTCGTGTTACGATGCAGTGTGATCTTTTTATAAAAGGCTTTAATCACTTCACATTTCTCCAATAAATTTTAGCAGTCTGATTTTTCTGTAGCCCTTTGGAAATATTGAAGGAAGGGAAGGACAATGTGTTGGTTTTTTTTTTAAATTCCTAGATGTAGCAGCCGAGTCAAATTCGGGGCCCGCCCCGCCCGTGGCGGGCCCCGGCTCCGCAGGCTGCCACAGAAGCACTGTGACTCATGGGCCCTGTCCCTCTGTTGGGCCTCAGGGATAAGTTTGGTCACAGACACTAAGAAGAAAAAAAAGAAATCCTAGATGTAATACTAACAGATGGTAAATGCCGGAATATCCCCTACAGTTTACATTCACAACCATTTTTTTGGTCCTAAAACAGTAGGCTTTGTGATTATTTTGCAAATAAAAAACATTAAAGATCACTAAAATTAAAATATTTTTCCTGATTTTTGAGGCTGTGTGTTATATTTTTGAGTGCAGCCTGCCCCCCGCAATCTTGTTTCTTGCATTTTATTGTGATTTTAATTCTGCTTTTTAGTGATGATACTGGGGAAAAAGTGCATTTGGATTTTTTTTTAATTTTTTTATTTCTTATCTTTTTGATGAACATAAGATAAAGAGAATGAGAAAAGCTGAAATGTTTACAGGGACCAAAAAAAAATCATACTTATTCCCAAAACAGATTTGCAATATTATCTTGTTCTTAAACATCAATGTTTGCCAAGACAAGAAGACTCAAACCTTCTGTCCCTGCCTCAGCCCCCAAGGAAGATGAATAAGTTATCTGAGGAGCACCTGCTTCTCCTGCCTTGACAAATATTTACATTCGGGCACATCTTTTAAAACGCCGTCTTGTTGTAAAATAGTTCAACAAATCTGTGTCACGCCTGCTGCCTCTTAACTCCCTCGTGCCCCATGGGGGCCTTGCAGGCCCGCCCGGTGTGCTTCCCCGGTGAGGGTCCTGGCCCCCAGGAAGCCCCACAAACACAGCTCCCACTCCGGCTCAAAGACCCATTTAGCCACAGGTAATACTAGAATCCGGGAGCCTGGGGGCTCCGACTGTCTCCTGGCGAGGAGGAGAAGAGGGACACTTGGCAGTGACTTTGTTGTCTGTACTTGAAAGGACACCAGAGGACCCTGCACAGGGTCCAGGTGAGATCAGAAGCTGCCCTCAGAGGGCTGTGTGACAGCACCTGTGGGGGAAAGGTGAGGCCTTTCCCGAAAGAGAGGCTGAAGGGGTCTGTGGGGTTTGCAGGCTTGGAAGTTTACTCACTCCAGGCATTTAGGGGAACATAACCGAAATGGGGGGGCAGGGGCCAGGGGAGGCGAACTGTCACCCGCACACTTGTGCCTTGCCGATTACTGAGTGCTCACACTGAACAACTTACGTGGCTGCCTCCCTCTCACAGGTGATGACATTGCTTTGAAAGCACGTTTGCATCCTTCCTCTTCAGGTGCAAAGACTAAGGGGAAGGCCAGTTTCCCGTCATTGCATTTCCTCCTCAGCACACAGAACCGGTAGAGTAGGGAAGCAGCCGTTCATTCTGTTCTTTTACAGAAGCCAAACTCAGCCCGGCCGGTGTAGAAGCAAGCCCGGCGAGGGGCTGCGGGCCACTCAGTACGGGGTCCTTGTGACGGCCCGAGAGGAGGTGGCGGCAGGCGGGTGGGGCGGGGGTGCAGCTGTCTCCTGGAGGAGTCAGTCAGTGCTCTTCCTGGGACGTGGGTAAATTTTCTTCTAGCTGTGTTACTTATTTTTCATGAACTATTCTTATTTAAATTCTATTACTAAAGTTTTCTGTTACTGATAATAATATTTTAAAGTTCCCTTAAAGAGACGATTTAGTTGTGTCAAACTAGGGGTGTGGGGACACACTGGCCTTGATAAATACAATTTCAAGCAGCTTTTCACGCACATACTTTGAGAAACACTCAGGTGAATCTGTCATGTTGAACCTTCTACAGTTGCCTTTCTTGTAGGACAAAAACAGTCTAATGTCAGCAGTTCTGGGTGGTTCAACCTAATAGCTAATCTGCTGGCTCAGTACAGAGAAAATCTTATTTTATCTATGTATTCATTTGTACAACAAAATCCAAAAATGCTAAATAGCTCAGAAATAATTGTCTACATTGAACAGGATTTAGAGGGAAGACAAGGAAATAACCTTAACCAGAACAGTGCCGGCTGCTAGCATTTTGGCTTTGTCCTTGAACCTAGAGTGGGGCTCCTCTCTGGTATGCAGCCATCTGCCATGGGCCCGCCGAGGGCAGTGGGGCCACTGGTGCTGGCCCCTCGTGCTGTGACCATTGGAGCCGGCCACTGTGGGAGAGGCCTGGAGCAGCAATTCTGGGTGGAAGGGTTTTTTTTATCTTATGCCTTTATACTTGTGCCTTAAAACATTTCTCAGATTGTTTGTCCTTATTTCTTCCCGCCTGCTACATTGTAAAGACACCTCTAAGATGCAGCAATGTTTTTTTTTTTTTTTAATCTTAGGGCTTTGAAAATCAGGTTACCTACTTTGTGAGGAATTGACTCGTTTTTCTCTGCGGCCCACATAAGGAGCATTATAGTGTGACAAGGCCGCCAGGCGCCTCAGGAAATGAAAGTCAGATTCACCCTCCACTCCAGACAGAGCCGCACTCAGAAACAGCATCTGTGCTGTACGGAGAGACTCTGCACCCGCTTTGCAGAGAGCCTGAGCGCTGGAAGCTGGAAAGGGCCGGCGCCTGTTCTCCGAACACTGAACACTGCCCGGGGAACTTCCCAAGCTCTTGTTTAGGAAGAAACAAGGTTTACATGTGTTCCTTAAAATAAATCCTCTTATTTTGCTCACGTGCTCTTGTGATTTGAGATGTAGTTGCCCTGCTGCTCCTCTGTCTCTCGTCTGTGATGTTTCTTTAAGCTCTTTCTTCTCTTCTGTGGGAATCAAGAGTCAGCTCACATGTTTCCTCCTTCGTGAAGCATTCCTTGTCATCTCAGAGAGATCTCATAATTCCTTAATCCAGTCCTTTCCTGCAGTAATAGGGGTGTCCTCATGCCTGCCGTCTGCTATCTTAATTGTTTGTGTCTGTCTCCTCGCGAGAGCGGGGACCAGGTCTGAGTCACGGCAGCCTAGTGGCCAGCGTGGTTCCTGTTAATGTAGCAGACACTCATGACGTAATTGTTGAATAAATAAATTATCTAGTTTTTTTAGTGGCAAGAATAAAAAAGAAAGTCAGAAATCTTATTTTATTTTTGTTCTAAAGTTTTCCTCTTTTTTTTTTAAGCTTGATAAAATTATGTTCTTCAGTTTTCCTGGAGACTCTTTAATACTTATAAAAGGCTCACATTTTTCTGTTTCTCAAAATAAAGGTGCAAAGTCCATTGATGTATTTTATACCCAGAACTCAGCTTTAGTGATTGATTATTTTTCTACGCCACGAGCAGGGCCATGGTAAGATAGCATCGCCCACAAGCCTGCGCTGTAGGTAGGGGTCTTGTTCGGTTCTCACGGTGGCTTGTTGGTTTGTTTGTTAATATTTTACTAATTTATTTTTAGAGCGAAGGAAAGGTTGGGAGAGAAACATAGATCAGTTGCCTTTCACGTGCATGCCAACTGGAGACCAAACCTGCAACTTAGGCATGTGCCCCAACCAGGAATCACACTCGTGACCTTTCGGTTTGCAGGATGACACCCAGCCAACTGAACCACACCAGTCAGAGCCTAAGGGTGTTTCGTTTAGTTTTTGTTTAGTCTGCTTTCATAGTTCTGATCACACGGTGGTGAAAAGTCTAGAGACTGTTTGTGGTATGGTGTACCGAAATGCATCTGTGGTGTGAAACTTACTGTCCATTGCCTATTCTTTCCCTTCCCAGCTGAATGGATTGGGAAAGTTTAAGGTTGGAGAGATACAGCTAAACCTAAAAATGATGTAAATAATATGAAATTATATGTGTACATTTTAACCTTTCTGTAAATTATCCTGTGTTTCAGATCAGGAATGTTGGAGTCTGGTATCGACCGAATTATTTCTCAGGTTGTAGACCCAAAGATCAACCACACGTTCAGACCTCAGGTGGAGAAAGCTGTGCACGAGTTCTTGGCCACGCTGAATCACAAGGAGGAAGCCAGTGGCAGCGCGGCCCCCGAGGAGGAGAAGCCAGACTCTTCCGTCATCACGCAAGGTGCTTTGCTTTTGCTCTTGAGCTCCAGTGCTTTTCTTCTTGAACTGAGTAGCAAGTTGAGGAAATTCGGTTTTTAAAACATTTCTCCACTCAGCCACAGTAGTGAAATTGTATTATACATCACCCAGACTCCTCAAGTGGCATAACCGTTATTTTCCTTAATACACAATAATGTGCATTTTCATGATGCATTATTGGGAATGTATGTGTGTTTCAACAGTGAGAATAATTAGAGAAGCTATTATTTTCCTGGAAACTAGACTCTCCTCAGGTTCCACGGTGCTTCTCTAAGGTAACTGTATTAGAAAGTAGAGAATTAGAGTATGCTGAGTACCAGCACTGGTGCATGACAGTCTAAAGGCGTGTGAACGGTCTGCTCGGCATATGCATCGTAAAGGTGACGGTGGCACGTAGCACCGACTCAGCCAGCTTAGCCTTCTGCATACGTTTACTCTGAAACTTGTCTCTCCCCCAAAGGCATCCCTGCTCCTGGGCCCAGTGCGAACGTAGCCAACGATGCCATGTCAATCTTGGAGACCATAACTTCTCTTAACCAAGAGGCTACTGCTGCCAGGGCTTCGACAGAGGCATCCAACGCTAAGACCAGTGAGAGAACATCCAAAAAACCCCCGTCTCAGCCCAGCGCCGACACCAGCGCTGAGAAGGAGAGAGCTTCCGAGGACATGGCTGACAAAGACAAGGCCGCGCCGGACCCCGCGGGGGAAGGACAGGAAGCAGCCCCCAAGTCTGAGGAACCTAGCGAGCTCCCTTGTCCGGTAGAAGAAGTTAAAAATCACACAAAAGAGAGCAATAGTTCTGTTCTGCTAAATAAAGACGTTCCACAGGAAAGCAGTGACCAAAAAAATAAACCAGACAAAGGTGAAAAGAAACCAGACAGCAGTGAAAAAGGAGAAAGGAAGAAAGAAAAGAAGGAAAAGAGTGAAAAGAAATTTGATCACTCAAAAAGGAATGAAGATACACAAAAAGTCAAAGATGAAAAACAAGCGAAGGATAAAGAAGCAGAGTGTACAAAAGCTCCTTCAGAAAAGAACGGTAACAAAGCTAAAACCGTTGAAGGGACAAAAGAAGGTAAAATCTTGCAAAAGTCTACAACTGTTTAAAGAACAAAGTGTGTCCATTCGGGTACATCAAATTTGCCTTCAGATTTTAATACATCTGATTGTTATATTTCAACAGCCTGAGAACTTGTATTTACTTTGCTAAAAAAAAAAGAAAAGAAAATGAGCAATAAACATTTGTTTATTTGTTTCCTATGCTCAAATTCACAAAGTAAATGGACAGAGAAGCTCTGGACCTTATAATTTAACTCATATAATGTATTGCCATGCATTATGTCAGGCAACTTCATGCATAGTTGTATATCCTAATCTTTTAAATATTATGAGTAAATATATTAGTTACTTAGAGTTTGCTTTTGTTTCTGTCATTTACATCATAAATTAATACTTTCATTTTTACTGGATAATAAATGAAACATAGTTTCATTTGTTAACTGGATAATAGTTTGCTTTTTGTATTTTCTGGAAATAGCTTTATTTGATATTGCTTGCTAATGAGAGATTTTTATTGCTAAAATTGAAGTTCTTTGAAATGTATTTAAAGCAGAAAATCTTAAACGTAATTTGGGAATTGGGTGCCGAGTATGTTCTTGTAGCAGGATCACTTATCTTCTGTATCATTTTCTTGCAGATTGCTCTGTGATAGATTCTGATGTGGATGGTCTCACAGACATTACAGTTAGCTCTGTCCACACCAGTGACCTCTCATCTTTTGAAGAAGACACTGAGGAAGAGGTTGTAATGTCTGATAGCATGGAAGAAGGAGAGATTACATCAGACGGTAAAGCATTTTACTTAATACTGCCTCTGTGAAGCTTCCCATCGGGCATTGTTTGTATATTCAGATGGCTATGTCGTGAAAGACAGTGTGGTGTACTGTCAAGAGCGTGGGACTTTGTAGTTGGAAGATTTGTTTCTGAGTGCCAGCCCCAAGGTTTTCTGTCTGAGCAGGCTTGGTAGGTTACTAAACCTCAGCCAGGCTCAGTTCTACATCTCCAATCTCCACTCCCTAGGATTATTGTTCCATGTAGACGGGATAATGCACATGAGGGTGTGTGAGTGAGAGTGAGAGTGAGGGAGCCCTGTCCACAAACCCCCCTCTCTTCTGACATCAGTGGCGAGATTGGGGTTCCCAAGACTACCCTTAGGTTTGATAACCTGTTAAAAAGACTCCCAGTGGTCCCTGAAATCTGTTAAACTCGCAGTTAACAGCTTATTACAACTGAGGGGCACCGATTAAAATCAACCAGGGAAGAGGCGCGTAGGCCAGAGTCCAGGAAGGCTCCAGACATGGAGCTCCCAGCTGTCCCTGTGGAGGTGCGGGGGGCGTTCCTTCCCCGGCATTGCTGTTTGACAGCGCGTGTGGTCACTGCCCCCCGGGAAGCTCACCTGGCTCTTCACGTCCAGAGTTTCTGTTTGGGCTCCATCATCAAGTAGCAGTTGACTGCCCGAGCCACTGGCCTCAGTCTCCAGCCCCTCTAGAAGTCAAGCCTGATAGCGCCACGACCCAAAGCTCCCACCCTAAATTACGCTCTTAGACGATTTGGCTTCACACAGGACCTCTAAGTGAACGAAACACTCCAGTCAGGCCTGGGATTCCAGAGGCTCAGAGGTGGCCTCCCAGAAGGGCAAAAACTGGACTTCTCTTTACTACACGTTTTGCTTTTCAGTTAAACCTTATTGAGTACTGTATCTCAGGCCGTGCTGAGTCATCACTCTGTTCTGTGTACCGACCCCTGTAACTCCCACAACCCTGAGAAATAGGTCCGGGTGAAGCAATAACGTCATCAGGGGGAGATGTCTTCTTGTCTAGAGTCATGTAGCTGGTGAGCACCGGTAGCTATTTCAGACCTGAGTCTGGACGGACTTCTAACCAACACCATATGCTGCCCTTTACCACATGATTTAATTCTGTCTATGACCTTGAAAAATCAGTAAGATTGAGCATTATTTGCAATTGCCTATAGATAGCATTTTATAAATTTGATACTGCTTTCAGATAGAATACCTGGAGAGAGAAGAAAACCAGAAGCTTTCAGTACTGCAGTTCTATTTCTAGCCTAAGTAAAATTCTAATTCTGAATGCTTTTGCGGGTCTTTTCAAGTTTTGCTGGGCAGGGCTAGATTTCATAGGTACGGAATCCAAAAGGTAAGAAGATAGCTATTTCAAGAGTACCAAGGGGTAGGAAATGAACCCCTCATTTCAGTTCTCTTGTTGTCTCATAGGGAAGGCACTCTGCCTCCCTGAGGTGGAGAGGTTTTGGCATTTACCTGGTATAGGACCAGTTATTGATTGTTGCCTCTTCCATAAGTGTAAAGTTCATGGGTGGTTGTAAAAATCCCCGGGTTACTTTAAGGTAAAACCTCAGGTGCCTTGGTTCGGTTTGACAGGGTAAAGCAGTCACATCAAGTCCACTGACACACAAATGAGAAGTAACTCTTTGTCAAGAATTAATTTTGTCAAAGAATTTTCTTTGTCAAGAAAACATAAATAACCACAAGGTTTAATTTTTCTTGACTGTCTTCCTGTATACGTAAGAAGCTGATTGTTAAGAAGTAAATTAAGATATGGATTCTGACCTTTAAAAATGCCTAAATTTCTGAAATTTCACATAGCGCCATTTCAGTATGTGAATACACTTGAGCTACATCCATACTGCTCTTGCTGCTTGATGGTGAGCAAGCATAATGTTGATGTTACTGCTAATTCTCATTCCTCTTTCTCTTGCCTTTCTCCCAGATGAAGAGAAGAACAAACAGAATAAAACAAAAACTCAGACCTGTGAACCCAGTGAAGGAAAAGCGAAAGGTGGACGACAGGCGTACGTTCACAAACCATTCCTTTACTCAAAGTATTACAGTGATTCTGACGACGAACTCACTGTAGAACAACGGCGACAGTCGATCGTAAGTCACACTTGATCTCTTGTTGTCTTCACACGTTAAGTCGGGCTGCCAGTCTTGTCTAGTCCAAGTGCAGGGTACTTACTGCTGGTGAGCACACAGAACAGCGACACGCGGGTCCTGCCTTTGGGAACTTTGTCATTTAACTGAGCAGAATCGACATAAACGTGTGGCAGAGGTGTCCATGTCGTAATGATTAATAGTGAAAGACTGGTAAAAACCTGCATGTTTCAAGGCATGGAAATGTTTTAATCAAGCATGAATTGAGTTTGTGGTATAAAGCTATGAACTTAATATTGAGGAGGAAGTACAATCCACATACGTACTGGATATGTTAACAACAGCTTCGTAGAGGAAAAACACTGCTTCCTTATTGTATGTGCATGTCAGATTTAAGATGACTTAAAATTTCAGAAACAGTAAAATATGAAAGTTGTGCGTCTCAGAACAAGAAAAGATTACTACATAGAAAAGTGACTTGAAGGACATACACGCAATGCTACTAGTGGCTTAACTCTTGAAAAGTTTGCTTGCTCAGGGGTTATGGCTGTGACACTTTGGGACGGTGCCTTCTGGCCAGAGAGGGGTGGTGGGAGTAACCCCGTGACTGGATGCTCTCTGGCTTTAGAATTCAACAGCCGAGAGTCCCCCGTCCAAACCTGGGTCCTGAGAGTGCAACCAACAAGTCACACTTGTTGTAGGAGTAGCCTGTCACTTGAGTCTGCATTTTAACTTTTTCCTTTAAGAATAATGCAAAAATTACGGGAATCTGCTGTGTCCCCCTGATGCTCATGGACATTTTCACGGCTGTCCTCCTGCTTGAGGCAGCCGGTTTCATAAACCAGCCTTTTTCAAAATGGTGCCTTTCCCATTCTGTAAACTGCTGGCCTTCTGAAAGAGTAAAGGAACATTTTCACATCTGTCTCGTTTGTTCTGGTGGTTTTCAAATTATGTAGTATATGTGCACTTCTGCAGAGCCTGTTAATTTGTAAGAATGTTTGAAGGGGAAACTTTTTTTTTCTGGAATGTTCCTGCTTTTGCCTGATAATCACAATAGTGACTATTTTGTGGTTTCAGGCTAAAGAAAAAGAAGAGAGGCTTTTAAGAAGGCAAATTAATAGAGAAAAACTTGAAGAAAAACGAAAACAGAAAGCAGAAAAGACAAAGACATCGAAAGCTAAGAGCCAAGGTATAGAAGATGTTAACTTTAATATTTTAAACAATCTTATATAATGCATTAGTTTCCGGAGATGTATATTACTCATGACATTTGATTATAAAGTATAACAATCTAAATTATATCTCAGTAAAGCTATTATATGTATATTTTTTTAATCCTCACCTGAGGATATGTTTATTGATTTTTAGAGAAAGAGGAAGAGAGAGAGAAACATCGATGTGAGAGAGAAACATTGATCAGTTGCCTATCATAGGCTCCCCAACCAGGGATCGAACCCGCAACCTAGGTATGTGCCCTGACCGGGAATCGAACCAGCAGCCTCTTGGTGTACGGGACGAGGCTCCAACCAACTGAGCCACCTGGTCAGGGCAAAGCTGTTATATTTTTCAAAAATTATCTATTTTCAGGTGTGGAAGATTTTCTTACTTTTTAATCTGATGTGTGTGGTCACTTTTTAAAAATTATATTGCTGTGTCTAAATTAAACATTCTCTCAGGTACCAGATTACACAACTGTTAGCAATTTATTTTTCAGTGGCTGTGGAATAAAATATCACTGGAAAATGAATTGTTAACGAGTAATCAAGCTATGCTGGTGATGTTATTGGAATTAATCTGTGTTATGTTAATTAAAATGTCAAATATTTGCCTATAGTATTTCATTGAACAAAATTTTATTTCTTCTGGACATTGATCCTGTGTAATGCCCAAATACACATATGCAGGGGTAGGCAAATGTAGGTTTACAGTTGTAGTACACAAAACAATTCATTCTTGTATTATTATTCATTCATTAATTATTGTATTTATTATTATTATTATTATTATTAACCTGTATAAGCATTTCAAATAAAAAGACAAGTCTTCTTCATCTCAAATAATTATTCTTATTTCAGCACAATGTGACATTAAAGCCATTTTGCATTTTTCTAGTAATTAGAACATCTTAGTGAAAAATCAGTATTATACTGTTAGGACTGTTGTGAAATAGCTTGTTGATTTTTTTATTTCCTAGGCAAAAATAGTATGGACGTAGAAGAACCATCAACAAAGAGTTTGGAACCTAAAGCCCCCAGAATTAAAGAAGTCCTTAAAGAACGGAAAGTTTTAGAAAAAAAAGTAGCCTTAAGCAAAAAAAGAAAAAAAGATTCAAAGTACGTATTTTACCTGGCAACATTCCCGTTGTAACATTCTCCCAGCATGCTTTCAGAAGAGAGGCACCAGAAGTGCCAGCCAAGAGCCTGGCCTTGAATGTGTGTGTTGCTGCATGCTTATTAAAGACCTCGGAGATTCGTTTTTTTATAGCATAACTCATTGTGCTAATATCTGTAATGTTTCATGTGCTAATCCTTTTGGATAATGTGATGGAAGCTTCGAATTCTCTCCCCAAAGAAATACCTGTGCATGAACAGTTGTTGCTGGAGTTTCAAAGGGTTTGTGGGCCCTCTGGAAGGGCTGAGGAAGAATCTCCATTCTGAACATGCAGTGACCACTTACTTGTTCATTTTCCAGTCGTTCCAGGCAGTTCTTCTCCCAGTATCCTATGCCTCTCCCCGTAAACCAGATGTCTGACCCAGACTCTTTTTTTAGTGCTGTGTTATCATAGTTAGTCGTATAAAAACTAGAAGGCTAAAGAGACGGAGTGGCTGTGGAGTCATGTAGGCATGGGCTACAATTTGCTGTGCCATGAAGATGCAGTTGTGTGAATTTATGACAACTTCCAAGACGCCCGAATCAACATTTTGCAAAACTGTGAGAGGAGTCAGCTCTCAATTTTTTCATGCCTCATTCCTATTGATCTGAATAAATAAGACTACCCTGTTTACTCAAAAGATAGCAAGATTTTCAAAATGTAATTATATTTTACAAAGTATTCAATTTCAAGCAACAATTCAGGAACTTTTGTTTCGATTATACTTTCCGTACTGTTCCAAGAATAGCCATGTCACATTTGGTTGGGATTGTGTTCCCTGTTGACTAGGAGTAGGATTTCAATTGAAATATGACAGGTCTTCGTTTATGGATCAAATGTTTATAGAAAAGAGAAGCTAACCTTTTTTTTAACCTTCCTTAAAATTTCTTATATTTTATTCAAAGTTCATGTTTGACATTTTCCCCCATGTAGGAATGTTGAAGAGAGTTCTAAAAAGAAGCAGCAAGCTGAAGAAGATTCCAAAGAAACCCTCAAAACCAGTGAGGTGTGTCCTAATTAATAAATGCATTCTGAGTGCTCTTTTGTTAGATACAGGCTATTCAGTCCTTTGGAGTAACACCAAGAAATGCAATTGGATCCTTTCTGAGTTCAGTAAACATCCCTCACATTCATTATTAACCCCCGTCCTGCTACAAGCTGAATTCCTCATTTTGGCAAGTTGATTCGTGTGATCATTTGTCTAGATAGTAACTACTTTTCTCCTTCCCCTTCCCTCGCTCACCCTGTTTCCTATGTGGCAATAACCAAATTGTCAAAATTAGATTGATAAATTCTCTTTTAGTTTTTTCTTTGAGGAATTTAATTTTAAAGTATTTTTTTTTAAGATTTTGCTGTCTTGGTCCCTGTATTAGTAGAAGTATATCAATCTTCGTGTTAAATTGTAAGGAGGTGTCATGGTTAGCCGATCCAGAGGCATAAAGATTTTTCTGAAAACTTCTGCCCATTATTCGTGTAAGAATAATTATAGCTAGTAGTCAGTGAGTCTTTATGAAAGTATGTTTTGTCAGCAACTGCTTATTAACATTAATAATCTATACTCTGTGCCATACTCTTGGGTGGGGGGGAGGGGATTCAGATGCTGTGATTTCTGAATATCTCCCCTGGGTTGTATAAACATACACATCAATTTTATATGATGTGGGTACTGTGAGTTAAATTGTGTGCATTTGAAGCATACTAAGTATGTCATCCAATGAGCAGCCTAAATTCATGAGGTTTCCCTAAAAACTTTTGATGTCTAAAATATCAGAAACCTTTATTTCAATGTAAATTTTTAAATTGTCTTCATCATACTTTTGGACTGAAAAGAATATGGGATTATCACTCTTTCATTTTATATTTATTAATGACTTTTGGGCATTTGTGGGCTTTAGCAATTGAGAGTTAAGTAAGTAGTCTCTAAAGATGCCTGTGATATGGTGGGAATAGAACTGGACTTAGACTGAGATCATCTAAACTCGTTGCCTGGGTGTCAAGTTTGGGGTCATGCTGAGCTTCGGTTTCCTGGTGCCTAGTATGAAGTTAGCGATGCCAACCACAGCCTGCCTGCAAAGAGTAAGTAAGGTATAAAATAGGTGACAGCACTCAACATATTAAATGGACCCAGATGTTAAATTTGAATACAAAAATTATCTCTAGCATTTCTCATATTTTAACCTTTGTTTTCTTAACAGCATTGTGAAAAGGAAAAGGTGTCTTCTTCAAAGGATTTGAAACATGTTCATACAAAAAGTGAAGCAAGTAGACCTACCCGGAGACTCTCCGAGTGTTTGCATTCAGCTGATGAGAACAAAAATGAATCCAAACTAGAAAGAGAACATAAAAGGCGGACATCTACCCCCATTGTGGTGGAGGGGGCACAGGAAGAGACTGACACGCGAGATGGGAAAAAGCAAATGGAACGCTCAGACGCGGGCACAGAAGAAAAAGAACCCCAGAAACAGAAGAGCACCCTTAAAAATGAAAAGCATCTAAAGAAAGATGATTCCGAAACAGCGCATGTGAAAAACCTCCCTAAGAAAGAGATGAAATCTTCCAAGGAAAAGGCTGAAAAAGAAAAAACTGTGTCAGAAGACAAGTTGTCTACAAAACATAAACATAAAGGGGACAGTGTGCATAAAACAGGTGATGAGACGGAGCTTCATTCTTCCGAGAAAGGGTTAAAAGTAGATGAAAGTGTTCAAAAGCAAAGTCAACAAATGAAGCCTTCTTCGGATGATAAAGCCGAACGAAAAAGTAAACATAGGAATGAAAGGAAGTTATCCATTTTAGGCAGAGATGGAAAGCCAGTTTCTGAATATATTATAAAAACAGATGAGAATGTTCGTAAAGAAAACAAAAAAGAGAGACACCTCTCAACCGACAAAACTAAGGCAGAGCACAAATCAAGAAGATCGAGTGATTCTAAAATTCAGAAAGATTCTCTGAGTTCCAAGCAACATGGAACCACATTACAGAGAAGAAGTGAAAGTTATTCCGAGGATAAATGTGATACAGATTCAACTAATTTGGACAGTAATTCAAAACCAGAAGAGGTTTGCCACAAGGAGAAGCGGAGAACAAAGAGCTTGTTAGAAGAGAAACTTGTGTCCAGGTCTAAGTCAAAAAGTCAAGGCAAACAGTCAAAAGTCACTGAAACAGAATTACAAGAGGGTGTCGCAAAACAGACAACCACTTCAAAACCAGATAAGGAGAAGAACTCAGAAGAAAATGACCCAGATAGACAACGAAAGTCTAAAGCTGAGGACAAATCTTCCGAGGAAGGTGGTGCTGAACCTGCATTAGAGAGTGTAGCACCTTCTGCCCACAGTGCCCAGAAGGACTCTGGTCACAGAGCCAAGCTGCTGTCAGCAAAGGATAGATGTAAGAGTGAGAAGGAGTCAAGCTCCTCTAGACTGGAGAGAAAATTATCAGATGGGCACAAAAGCAGAAGCTCAAAGCATAGTAATAAGGAGGTGAAAAAGAAGGAAGATAACAAATCAGATGATAAGGATGGTAAAGAAGTTGACAGCAATCATGAAAGGGCCAGAGGCAATGGTCCAGTGACTGAAAAGAAATTAAGCAGAAGGTCGTGTGAAAATCGGAAAGGAAGTACATCCCAAGAAATGACCAAAGGAGAAGATAAATCAGCAGCAAACACTTCGAGCTCTCTCAGTAGTTCCTCCCTTCAGAGACCAAAAAGAGGTGGTGACACCACACTGACCCCTGAACAAGAGCCAATGGAAACTGATTCTGAAGCTGCTGTGGAAAATGTACCGGAAGTTTCGAAAATCCATGAGAGCAGCAGTAATAGTTCTCAGCAAGATGCTGACTCTGAAAACGTGATGAAGCAGAAGGCGACAGGCATGGTTCTAAAGGATGAAGGAAGAACTTCCACCATAGATGCAAAAACAGCCGCTCCAGCCTGTAAATCAGGGCGTGGAGCAGGGGCTGCTGGTAATTCTGAAAAGCACGCTGACCATAAAAGCACCATGACCAAGAAAGTGCATATCCAAAGTGCTGCATCCAAACCAAACCCCAGGGAGAAAACACCAAGTCAACAAGGAACTCAGGACTCGAATGCAGAGTCTGAAGCTGGTCATAAAGTGTTGCCTGGTGCTCCATCAGAAAATGAGAAGGCACAAAAGAACTTGAAACATACAAGACCCGCCGAAGAGCGTGTTGCTCAAGGAGACACTGTTGAACATTCCACGAATGTAGACCCCTCACCATCCTTAAGTTCGGTGCCTGTTGTGCCTCAGAAACCATCTCATGATGCAGACGTAATTCCTGTAGTTGACAGGAGAAATGTTTCAGAAGGTGGCACAGGCGGCACCTGCCTGGGGGACCACTCCGACCTCCCTAACCAAAATTTGACTGTTAAGGAATCCGAAGTCCCCAGGACGAGTCACAGCAAAGAAGGTGGTGCAATTTCCACAGCAGATAGGCCAGCAAAAGCAAGCCTCACTAGCAAAAGAAACATTCCGGAAGGTTCCCAGGCCACCATACTGCACAGTAAACAAGGGAAAGGAAGCATGCCTCTTGATAGCAAGTTAACAGACACAGCTGTAGGAAGTGAGAATGTTAAAGAAGGTGACATAAGTAGAGAGCTCACTTCAGAGCAGACAGTTAGAGCTGCAATCGCAAATGGCCAAAAGGACGGCATCGCTGTGGACTGCACTGTAGGCATGAGCACCAAGGAAGATGCTAAAACCGTTGAACTTGAGCACAGTAGAGGCTCGGGTGAAGTAGTGCGTGTGTCCGCTGATGGTGAAAGAAGGAGGGAAAACAGTGAGGTAGACACCAGTGCCGGAGGTGACTCTGCCGCCTCTGTCTCACGCCAAAGGGACAGAAAAACTGAGAATGTGACAACGGGGTCTGGCAGAGCAGAGAAGACTTCTCTGGCCACTAGTACGGAAGGGAAGGACAGAGGCCTTGCCTTGAACCCAGTCAAAGCTGGGGACGCTACCACCACTTCCTCGGAAAGGGGAGAGGAGGAGGTGGCCGTGCCTTGCACGAGCATTGAAGCAGACGAAGGCCTCACGGGGGGCTCCAGAAACAATGCTCTCCCCTCGGGGGCGGAAGCTGGGCGGTGCACTGTGTTGGCCGCAGCAGAGGAAGGTGGGGGTGTGGTCACAGAGGGCCTGGCGGAAAGGGAAACCTTCCTCACCAGCACCAAGGAGGGAGAAAGTGGGGAGTGTGCTCTGGCTGGATCTGAAGAGCAAGCGGCAGACCCGGTGACTGCTCAGGCAGTCGCCGTTGAAGACAGTGTCAATAGTGCTGTGACAGAGGAGAAGGATGATGCTGTGACCAGTGCTGGCTCTGAAGGGAAGTGTGACGGTTCTTCCAGCAGAGACTCAGAAAGACTCAGGGGAGCTGTCGCTTTCACCGGGGAAGGCGAGAGTGATGGAGCCGTAACAAGCGCGGGGACAGAAATGCGAGAGGAGTCGTTAAGCAGTGGAGAGGCAGACAGGTTCCAGAGAAGTATGACGAGGATGGGCCCCCAAAAGGAACCCGAGGGGACTGTGACATGTACAGGAGCAGAAAGGGGAAGCGGAAGCTTTGCGATGTGCCCAGTCACGGGTGCAGGGCCACAGGAGGAGCGTATGGTTACAGGGGCAGCTGTTGCCCTGGTGGACAATGACCCTCCACCAGGAGCTAATGCCACCCAGGACGGAGATGGCTCTGGGAATGACGGCACAGAGGGGGAGAGTGCCGTCACCAGCACCGGGATCACGGAGGAAGATGCAGAGGGGCCGGCAAGTTGCACAGGTTTGGAAGAGAGCAGCGAAGGCCTGGCAATAAGTTCTGAGTCCGAAGAAACCGGACAGAGTGCTATGGACAGCACAGGAGCCAAGGAGGTCGCCAGCGTACCAGTGGTCGCTGCTGGCCCCTGTGATGACGAAGGCATCGTCACCAGCACGGGCGCCAAGGAGGAGGATGACGAAGGTGAGGGTGTTGTGACTAGTACTGGAAGAGGGAACGAGGTCGGGCCCGCCTCGGCCTGCACGGGGACAGAAGCAGAAAGCGAGGAGGCGCCCGTGTGTGAGAGTGCAGGAGGAGGCGGCGGTGGCATTGGGACAGCAGCCGGCCACGGGCCTGCCGAGGCTGGGGCTGCGGCCGGAAGTGCGCAGGAGGGCAGCGTCCACAGTGTGAGCGGCGCCGAGAAGGAGATGAAAGATGCAGAGATCTGCTCCAGCGCCAAGGCGATCGTGGAAAGCAGCGTGACCAGCGCGGCTGCGAGGGCAGACGGAGCAGCGGCACCAGAGCCCGAAGCTTGCGAGGGGCCCATGACCAGCGCAGCTTCGGGCCAACGCGACAGTCAGCTGGCCGGCGAAGGCAGAGCCGGAGACGCCGTTATTTCCACTGGTCTGGTGGGGGGCAGTTGCGAGGAACTGGTGTCTGGCGCCGTGGCAGAGTACGGGGTGCCCCGCACGTCGCCGAGCGAGAAGGAAGACGAGGGGGTCATCACCTCTGTGGAAAATGAGGAGTGCGACGGCCTCGCGGCGACCACGGCCAGCAACGGCGTCACCCGCCAGACCGGTGTTCCTGGGGGCCAGAGTCAAGGCACGGGCCTGGTGATTTCCACCAGCAGCACCCACGGTTACACTTCACAGTTCAGCACCATTCGGGACGTGGGAGGCCCCTCCAGTGCCCTGAGAACCGAAGAAAACGCGGAGGGCCCCAGAGTGAACGCGGACGAGTTCGAGGCCCCCATGCCCAGTGCGGGTTCGGGGGAGGAGGGCCAGCTCCCCGCGGCGAGAAGCAAGGAGAAAGACGAGTGCGCCATGATCTCCACAAGCCTCGGGGAGGAGTGCGAGGTGCCCGTCTCCAGCGCCACGACCACCCTGTGTGCCGGCGGCCCGCAGCCCGTGGCAACGGCGGAAGGGAGAGCCAAGGGCCCCGTCTTGGTCGGCACTGACGACTTCGAGGTGCCTATGCCCAGCGCACCCAGGGAAGTGGAAAGCCCCCGTGCCTCGACCAGCAAGGAGGACAAGGATGAGTGCGCGCTCATTTCCACCAGCATAGCGGAGGAGTGTGAGGCCTCCATTTCCCCGGGAGCTGCGGGGGGTGCGCGCGAGCGGTCTGGCACAGCCGTGGAGGAGAAAGACGGGAGTGGCGTCATCTCCACAAGCTCGGTGGAGGACTGTGAGGGCCCGGTGTCCAGCGCCGTCCCTCGGGAGGAAGTCCGTCCCGCGGCCACCCCCGCGGAAGAGATCAGCGACACCACCGTGATTTCCACGAGCACCTCGGAAGGACGGGAAGCGGCCATGAGTGGTGCCGTCCCCCGGGATGAAGAGCGGCCCGCGGGTGCGCAGATGGAGGATTTGAGTGACGCCGCCATCATCTCCACCAGCACGGCTGAGTGTGCGCTGGCTGTCGCTGGCCCGGACAGGCACGAAGAGAACCCGCTGACTGCTAGCAACCCAGAAGGAGGAGATGACCTGTCAGCCGCGAAGGTGAGCAAGTCTGAGGCCCCCATGCCCAGCCTCATTGCCGAGAACAGCTGTCAGTGCCCTGGGCCACTCCCAGAAGGCAGAGACATGAGCCCTGGGGAAGGGCACATCAGGGCGCCAGCCAACGTGCTCTCTGCAGAGGGAGGCCCGCCGCAGGAGGAGGAGAGTGTGTCCTTGAGCTCCCTTCGGAGCCTGGATAAAAGCCCTGCGGCAGGGATGGCTGGAGACGGCCCCAAAGCACCCTGTTCAGCAGGGAGGGACTTGGAGAAGGGAGCTGGCTCGCCTGTCGGCCTGGGAAGACCAGAGCAAACGTCGACAGCTGAGGACTCCATCAGCATTCGCTCTTTGGCAGCAGTACATACTGGTGCTAAACCGGCTGGTGACATGCCACGTGTCAGACCCGCTGACACAGAGCAGCCCTCTCTCCCTCCCACCCAGCAGGAGCCTGAGGGTGACTTGAAAACCACCACCGAGAGTGTTCATGGCCCAGAGTCAGAAGTCGCTCCTTGCCGCGCAGCCCTTCCAGCTGCCTGCCCTGTGGCTGTGTCGGCAGCAGAGTGTAAGCAGGACCTGACCGGGAAGAGTGATCACCGTGGATCGCGACGGGCCGTTCAGGCGGCGGCTGAGAAAACGGGAGATGGCACGGTGAAACCCTTCCAGAAGGGAGGAGGCCTCACGGTCACTGTTTCTCCTGAAGAAAACGTGGGTGACCCAGGTGAGAATCTCTCTAATTGAAAACTCGAACATTTTACAGAGGCGATTGTGTATAGAGTAAATTTACAACAGCCTTCCGAAACATGGTTTTGGTTCCTGAATGTCACAAGATAATTTGTCAAACTTGGAGGTCAGGCTTCTCCAAAAGAAACTTGTGCTCAGAGCGTGAGGCCCCAGAGCCCTTTCTCGTGGACAGGGAGGGAAGAGGCGGGAGACTGCCGCGGGCCACTGGGCCTCCCTGACCTCCAGGTGTCCCAGGGACCTCCAGGTGTCCCAGCAGCCCTGTGCAATCAGTGGTTTTTAATCACCCCTATTTTACAGGAGAGCAGACAGGTTCACGGAGTCGAAGTATCTTGCATGGTACTTGAGTGCCTTTTAGAAAACATTAACTCTGTTCTAGAAAATGGGGATAATAACACAAAAATAAGCATCATTTCTATTCTCCTCTGACTTACGGATTTGCAATATGTGTCAGTTCAATCCAACTGGTTACTTTAATCAAAGGAGCACTTTAAAAAAAAAAAAAAACCAACAACCCTGAGTTTTATTCAGATAAAATGAGCAGTTTCTGGCTTAGATTTTGTTGAAGAGAAAATGGGTTCTCTCCTGTCCTGGCAGGTTTCAGGGAATGTTGGTCTTATTAGAAATGGTCGATAATTCAGTATACAAGCTTTGAGTGCAGTCATTCCGTATACGATCCGACTGCGGGCACTGTGCCCCAGCTCCGACGGTGCAAGGCCCTGGGGGGGCCAAGGGAAGTAGTCAGCGTGGGGCGGAGCTGTGAGTGCAGCCGTGTGTTGGAAGTGGGCAGCGACACCGTCGTGGGACAGGTACTTAGACCTGGGTAAAGCGCAGGATGCTGTGAGGACGCAAGGGGGCCTGGGCTGCGCTCCAGAGGGTCAGGGGCGTTGTTGGCTCCTCCCCACTCGGGCTGTGTGAATCGCGGCATCCTGGACTTCCAGACTGGAACAGACTCCGGTGTCCTCTAAGGCAGCCTCTGGAAGCGGAGGCTTGTGCTCTTGTCCTGTCCACTGCAGGAACTTAAGTAGGAGACATTAAGAAATGTTCGCAGCATGGAAATAAGTAACTTTAAAATTTTTCATTGGACTTAGCCTGAGGTACATTGAATGCTCTGCGAGTTTTATGACCTAATCATTCCTATAGTCTGTTATCCCTTCCTCCCTCCCCACCCCTGCACCGCCTTTTTCTTTTTCCTTGAAGGAGCAAAAATAGAAATGCTTTAGCAAGGAAAAGCCTGCAGTCTCTTGGAGAAAGAAGGGATTTTCTTTGGAGGCTTAGATGAGCCACAAGCCACAGAAGCACAGGGGACAGAGGGGAGAAAGGCCCGAGACAGGGATAGACTTGAGTCTCCACTAGAGAAAAACTCGGTTTTCTTTTGTCTGCTTCACAGGTTTTTAACTTTATGTTTAATTTTGCTGTGTCCGCATAAAGTGAGTGAAATGAGTCTATTCATAAATCACCTTTTTTATCAAGAATATTCCTCAGTGGCCCAGAATATTTCCCTGAACTCTTGGAAATAAGATGTGTCCACAAATAGCACTTTCTGGGCAGCCATCTGCACGGCAGGAACGGTCCACCCTCTCCGCGGAGAGGAAGTGACCCCGCTCTTCCTCTGATGCGTTTCATGCCTATTCATCTTCACTGTTTTCTCCTGACTGCAAAGTAAAACAGCAGAGTGGGCATGGCGTGCTAGATGAGAACATTTTGTTGTTACCTTTTGGCCCAGATTGTATTTTGCAAGCAGATTCTTAACTTGGTTTAATGGTTTTAAATTTCATTAGGCCACGAAGACTCTCCATCGAATGTTTCGGGAGGATTGGACTTGAAAGCCAACTTGAAAACTGAGGTATGGCTGATAATGCAGTTACGCTGAGCTGTAAATGGTGTTAAGAGCCATTTCGCCCTATGTATACACACATGCGTTTAAGCAGTCTACATACACCTCTCTTGTTTTCACTGTACTTAAGACACCTAAGTATTGTCATTGTTACATCGGGGTGTGGGGGAGCGAAATTCCTCAGTGATCGCCACAAGTAACGCCATCACCACTTCCATTTACTCAAACCAGAAACCCGAGAGTCACTCTGTTTCTCCTTGTCACTCCACATTTAATCCACTGCCAGTTCTTTGTATCTATGTATTTGTTTATTTATCCTAGGAGAGTGGGGAAGGGAGGGAGAGAGAGAAAAACATCGATGTGAGAGAGAAACATCAATTGGTTGCCACCCCTTTGCCACCCAACCTGCGACTGAACCCACAGCCTAGGCATGTGCCCCGACTGGGGATTGAACTGCTGACCTTTCACTTGGCGGGATGATGCCCAACCAAGCGAGCCGCACCTGTCAGGGCTCCGTTGTCAGTTCTTACAGTTTCCACTTCCAAAGTATAGCTTGAGTCCCTCTGTTTCTGCTTCTACAGTCACTGCACTAGTCTAAGCCAGGGCCTGCGCAGTGTTCCTGTCGAATTTCCTCCCTCCCCAGCGCCCTCCAGTCTGGGGTTATCAGGACAGCCCTGGGAGCTATCTTGAAAACCCTAAATTAGGTCATGTCATTCTGCTGCCTGAATTTTCCAGTGGCTTTCCATCATACTCAGAATAAAATCTATTTTGTAGTGGCCTGTTGGTGTAATACCTAACGTAGTCTCCCTACCCCCCTCCACCCGGTCTCGTGGCACCCTGCAGGCACGCACAACAGTTGCACAGCGGTGAGCGTGGGCGCTGTGGGCACTGCAGAGGGGCTGTCCTCACCGGGCTGAAGCAGTGGGCAGGCAGGCAGGGGTAGTGTTTGAGTTCTGCAGCTGGAGTGCAAGTGTTCCAGAGAAGGGAAGCCTTCCAGTCAAAGGAGCGTGTTCTAGGCAGAGAGGGAAGGGCCAGGGGTGAGCCCCGGGCCCTGCGGTGGCTCCAGGTCAGCGGTGCTGCAGCGCGAGCCTGGCGGGGGGTGGCGCTGAGCAGGGAGGGCCTTGTGTGTTGCACCGAACTGGAGTTTGAATTCAAAGCAGTAGGAGAACCACTGGTGGATGGCTTAGGTGAAATGGATTAGGTTGAATTTTGGGTTTGTTTTTAAAGGCTGACATACATTCATTTTGGAATTATGCACAGACTTGAAAGTAGGCTTGTGGATTACAAGGTGCTGGGGTTACGTTTTGTTTTTTGGGGGGTTTTTTTTGTTTTCAGTCATTTGAGGTTCGTCTTGCCTTGTTATAAAAACTGCAGTTAACTCTTTTTTGTGGTACTTTGGACTTTTTAGACATTTCTACAGGCAGAAGAAGAGAAGAGTCATGAAATTCCAGCACCATCAGAGCGTCCACGTGGGAGAAAGCTGACTGGGACAAGTAAGCTCCTTTTAGCAGGCTGTTTGCCTTTTGTTGCAGCTTAAAATCGGTAGCTGGTTCGTAGCGATATGCTGGCAGGCTGTAGGAATTTGCTTCTCACTTTTTAAAATAGGTTAGTGAGAACACTCGACTTAACTTCATTTTTAACATACACCTTTTCTTATGAAGTGTCAGTCAGTTTCATATGAGGTGATTCTTTGAATCTGATAGCTCCAAATCATTGTGGCAAATAGAAAGTTGCTTGGAGCAAACTCTTGCCCCATCCCCAAATGTGTCTTTGTGCTTCCCTTCCCTTCTGGGTGCCGTTACCACAGCTCGTTTGCAGTAGGCAGGTCCGCAGCTGGTGCGGTGCGCCCACTTCTTTACAGCCCTGCTCTTGGTCCTTGGACTCTGCCAGGGCTCCTCCCAGCTTGCAGAGTCTCTTCCGGTCTCCGGGAGCCTCAGTGGTCAGTGTCCACTGCAGACTTGAGGGGACTGCCCAGTGTCAGGAAAGGTTAGGGCAGCGACTCAGATTCCCTGGTCCAGGACCACTTGACACTCAAAATTCAGTGAGGACCACAGAGAGCTTTTTTTGTATGGACTATACCTGTTAACATTTACCAAATAAGAAATTAAAACTGAGAAAGTTATGAAATATGCATTGAGTATAATTAACTCACCACGAGGAGTTAACATAAGTAACATTGTTTTTCATGAAAAATAGCTAGATGTTCCAAAACAAACTCTAGTGAGAAAGGTAACATTGTTTTGTATTTTTGCAAATCTCTAAGTCTAGGTTAAGAGAAAATAGCTGGTTTCTCTTAAATGTTTCTGCAGTCAGTCTGTTGCTAGTCTGTTGTCTTGGCTGAAGTATATGAAGAAACTCCAGCGTCACACGTGTGGTTGGATTTTTAGAACAGTCTTTTCAGATAATTGTGGGGGCATCATATGGCCTCTGGAAAGCTCACCGTGTACCATGAGTTTAAAGGCGAATAGCATCTTCTTCTTATGACTGTGCTTGGGCCCTTGCCCAAGGTCTTAATGGAAGGTCTTAGGAGCTCCTGAGGGTGCCTAGACCGCACTTTGAGAACCACAGGGCTAGGGAAATGGAAATGAGAAGAATGGTGACGTTAGAGAAGTTTCCAGGGTTGTACTCCAGTCGTTATTGTACATTTTCTTCTGATTTACCCATTAACCAGGAAAAAAGTAATAGGAATTGTAGCTATGTGATCGAATATAAGCTAGTTTTTTGTTTTTTGTTTTTTGCAACATTGAAATGTCGGTGCCAGTCAGATGGAAGAGTCAGGGTGATCTGGTTGCAAGTAATAAAAGTCTGCAAATACTTGCTTAAATCTGTTAGCTCATTGTCTTAGTTCAGGTTGCGGGAATTCCGTAGGTTGAGTGGCTTAAACAGCAAATATTTATTTCTCAGGGTTGCAGAGCTGGGAAGTCTGAATTAATGGGGTCAGCCTAGTCAGGTTCCCAGTGAAGACTCTCTTCCTGGTTATGTCCTCACGTGACCTTCCTTGGGGGGGGGGGGCGGCGGGGGGCACACAGGAGAAGATCTCATATCTCCTCTTTTTATGAGGACACTGATCCTATCACCGGAACCCTACCCTCAGGACCTCATGTAAACCTGATCACCTCTCAACACTCAGCTCCAAACAGCGTCACGCTGGGGGCTAGGTCTTCTGTGTGCACTTGAGGGCACACACATGTCCAGCCCATGGCATGCACACACCTGAAAGTACAGGCAAAGCGTGATTTAAGAGCGCGATGGTCTCCCCACAGACACGTCTTAAAAGGCCCAGTCTCTTCCCTCCCTTGGCCCCCAGCAGGGGTAACTGCTTCTCATTTATGATCTCTGGGAAAATATCCTTGTCCTACCATTCATGGCCAAAATCCTAAGATTTACTCTAATTCAGCTTAGGTAGCTGTGTGCACCTTAAACTAAGTGCTGTTGCCATCTCCGAAACCACACTGTGCCCTGGACCACAGCCTGGGCTGGGGAAGTGCTAGGAGAGAAGCCACAATGTCACCTGTAGTTAGACAGAGGGGAAGGCAGGGAAGAAGAGAGGGAGAGACACATCGATTGATCAGACCCCTCTCCCATGCCCCAACCAGGGACTGAGCCACAACCCAGGCGTGTGCCCCAGCTGGGAATCGAACACCGGCAACCCTTTGCTTCATGGGAGGACCATTTGAGCCACACCGGTCAGGGCATGAAATCGTAATACTTTACCGTCTGCGCTGTAATTTTTTTTTTTAACTCAGCCTTATATTGTGGGCTTCCTTCATTGTCAGTGTATACAGATTGACTTCATCTGAATAGTAATCCGTAATGCATTTTCCTGGTTGTAGATCTTAGCCATCTCCGGTTTTTATAGTTTTTACTATTATAAACAAAGCTGCAATGAACTTCCACGCTCATGTAATTGTGTGTTTCCCCCAAGTATTTCCATAAAGGTGAATTGGGAGGTCAAAGAATATATGTTTTGATTTTGATGAATACTTATCTCTTCCCCTTTTTGGAGCCCGATACTGAGGGATGAGCAGGTATGCAGCAGGTGCAGCAGGCAAAGAGAGAGGCAGCATGTAAGGTGGGGTGTGCATGAACCCTCACCCAGGCCTGCCTGGGGTGGTCAGGGCGGGGGCCTTGCCAGGCAGCCTTCGAGGTGTGTGACCTGGAGGGGCCTGCAGGCAGACGGGTCTGTCAGGCAGCCTGGACGACCCCCCCAGGCTGGTGAGCCCCTCGGGCCGGCGTGTGGAAGCCCCGACCCTGACAAAGGGATCCAAAACTCAGAGAGAGGCGTTAGTTAAAATGTGTGTGTGTGTGAACTACAGTGGACATAACTCACATCCCACTTGTCACGGCCCCAAAGGTGCCGTTGTGGAGGTTCTGAAGTCCGTTGTTCCCACAGCTAGAATCCAGATTACTGTGTTTAGGCACGGCTCAATAGGAGGTCTACTTACGTAAAAGGAAGTTGTTTAGAAGAAAAATGTGCGTTCTGTCACTGTTGAGTAGAAACAGTAGACCTTGTGCTTCACGTTTCCAGAGAATATAAATAGATCTCTGCTGTTTGAGGGGCTGGGAGCTGACTTTTCAGTTCATGGCATTATTTTTAAATGAACCAGTGTTACCCTGTGGCTCAACAGTCAGTAAAGGTCTTCCACCTTCCCTCTGAGCTTCCGGTCCTGAGCACAGCAGGCACGGAGTGACCTAAGGGACCACCGCCATTGCTGTAGGAAGGCGGGCAGCTGTCGTTTCTGTGGTTCTTCTTGTAGGGTGACCGATGTAGATTGTAGAAGAAGATTCATCTGAATTTTATAATTCCACTGCCCTGAATGTCTCTAAATGTGTTTCTCTGCAGCTCAGTTTCCTTATTTCTCATTTTTGTTTTGAACAGCTGCACTGCAGAGCCAGCCTTTGGTGTCGAACGAACCACTGAGGGTAAGTCGCTGCGGTGGTGGGGTTTGGTTATCGGCCCTGTGTTGTCTTGGCCTAGTGTGTTGAGAGTGGCCACGGAGGGGGCGTCCTGAGGGGGTTGTCTGCGCGTTTCTGAAGGGGACAGGAGGCCCTAGATGGCCTGCTCTGCACAGGAGTTCAACACACTGACCAGGGTGTTTACTTGGCCTCGTCTACAGTCAGCTGTGACATACCACTGATGTCACGAAATATGTATAGTTGTTTCTCCCCCCCCCCAGGAAAGTCCTCCTGCATTCAGCAGCATGGAATCTAGGCCAGCGGCACGAAATGACACCAAGGACATAGGAGGAGGCCCACATGGCTTAGACTAGAAAGCTCACCCGGTGTGTGAGTGCTAAGGAAACCCTTCAAAGCACTGAACTTCCTATTCGTGATGACCATAAGGGCCTTGCAGGGCAACTTGTGACATGCACTGATCACCATACTGCAGACAAAACAGATTTTGTTTTGAGAACTGACATTAGCTTTATGTTTTTGGAAGGCTTTTCTGAAAACACCAAACTATAATGGGCATGTATACATATTTTTTTCACGTGTGGCTCTCACAATCCCTTTTGTACTTGAAAGTTGTTTTTGCTTTTTGTATTTCTGAAGGCATTTTTGGAGACCTGATCTCATACCAGGAGCGAACATTTTGTAAACGCTTGCAAACTTCACACAGGCACGTCCTTTCCTGAGCTCCTAGAGGACTTAGTACCCGACAACTGGCATCAGAGGGCCCTCCTCACCCCGTTGGAACACCCTGTTTTGTAGCTGGAGGCACGCACACAGTCTGCTGAGTAGGGAGGAAGGAAAACCCCACTTGTCTGGTTCCGGTTTACCCCGCAGAGCCAGTGAGGCGATTGTTTAAGCCCCGAATATGTGCTCCGTCCTACCTCAGAGCTTCCCTGAGTCTGAGGCCCCACGCAGCACAGCCATCCTTTCTAAGGAGGCGTGAGATTCTGTAGCTTGGACCTCAAACACTGCAGGGTATTCTGAGACTTCCCCTCGGTGAATAAAGAAACAAAAACCCCTGGCTGGGTGGCGCAGTTGATTAGAGCATCATCCTCACACACCAAGGCTGCAGGTGCAGTCCTCAGTCAGGGCACATATGAGAATGAACCAATACATGCATAAATAAGTGGAACAACAAATCAGTCCATCTCTCCGTCTATAAAGAAATCAAGAGCCCTGGCTGGCGTAGCTCAGTGGATTGAGCGCGGGCTCTCAAACCAAAGTGTCGCAGGTTTGATTCCCAGTCAGGGCACATGCCTGGGTTGCAGGCCATGACCCCCAGCAACCGCACATTGATGTTTCTCTCTCTCTTTCTCCCTCCCTTCCCTCTCTGGGGATAAATAAATAAAATCTTAAAAAAAAAAAGAAGAAGAAATCAAGAAATACAACTGATAAGATTTACCAAGGGGAAATCTTAGGACAGAGTGACAGAATCCTTCAGCATTTTTAAATAAAGGAAAAAGAATATCATGGGGCATCATTGGATGGGAAAAGAATGCATAGAATTCATAAGTATATTCTCATATTACTCTTTTGCCATACCATTTTAAAGGAGAGTAAACATAGTAGGATGATAATTTAATAAATGGAAACGTCTTCAAAAGGAAGCTGGCTCTGTGCTTTTGAACTTCTTGGTAAAATTAAAAAGAACATGCATTCCAGCTCCTTTCATCATCCCACAAACAGCCAGTCATGTCAATTACCTTTTTTTTTTTTTCCTTTCTGCTCTCAAGACTTCTCAGATTATCCATCAACAACATTTTCTATTGTCTGTTTAGGTCGAAAACACAGGCTCAAGAACAAAAGAAGAAATTCACAGCAAGTGTCATAACAAAGAAGGTAAGTTGATGAATTTCAGAGCAGTGATTTTCATAGTAATTATAATTCCCTTTTGTTAAATGCCTCCCATGTGCCTGGCCCTGTGCTGATTACTGTACTTCCCAGATTTTCTCTCATTTATTGATGCGACGCAGTAAGGTGAGTGCAGACAGCGTCATGTCAGTGGTTGAGGAGGGTGGGGCGTGAGAGGCCCAATGGCTAGGTCAAGGCCGTGCACCTTACACGTGGTGCCTTGCCCGAAAGAAACGCTAGCACTTCGCCAGTCACCTCACAGTGGACTCGGTCCATTGTGAATGCAGAGGGTACAGTCCCTGTGGTTTGCGCTGTCGGAGAAGTTCTGTGCTGAGTGCTGGCCGCCCGTGCCTCCTGACAGGCGGTCTCAGGTGGGCCCGGAGCGGGAGTGGCACGTCCCAGGGCCCAGGTCTCACTCCCCAGCACCCGTGGGGACTGCCAGCTCCAGAGGGATAATTCTCTTCTCAAACAGAACACAGAATTTTCTCCGTTCCTACTGATTTTGTTAATTCTCTATTCTGAGAACGGGGACAGAGGCCGCGATCCCCTGTGCAGTTACTTTTATAATGTGTTACACTGTATTTCAGACCAAAGGAAAGCAGCAGGGATTATAAATCCTTGTTATACTTATCACCTGGTTTTGTCATATCTTAAAAGTTAGTGTATTTGCTTCAGAAGCTTTTTAAAAATGTTACAGATACAGTTGAATTCACATTAAAAAGGCAGCAACAATTATAAGTCCATGTACTCATGACCTAGTTTTGTCATCTCTTGAAACTTAGTAGATTTGCTTCAGATACTTTTGAAAAATGCTAATGACAGACACAGTGGAGTCCACACTGGACCCTCCCAACCCCCGTCTCCTTGTGTCTGCTCCCCGGGCGCCACCGCCCTGCACTCGCCGCGCGTTCCCGTGCACGGTGTCCGGCCTCCGGCGCGTGTTCCAGGAGGAGGGCGCCGCGTTGTGGGGCCTGTCTCCTCCACACCTGCTCACTCAGCGTGGTGCTGTCGTGCGGGTGACTGTCCAGTCACTTTTTTCCGTTGCTCTTTAGTATTCCACGTGTGAATAGAGCAGTTGTTATTTTTTGCTTCTTTAGGGTTTTTTGGCGCTTCTCCCAATTATATAGAGTGCTCCCACGTGGGATCCTGTCCCTGTTTCCCAGTGCCTGTGTAGTGAGTGCACCTGTCACTCCAGGTGCGCCATTGCTGGGTCAGTAGGCACCTCTTGCATTTGACTGAATGTGCCAAATGGTCGCCAGGTGGTTTCCCAGCTGTCACTCCACACCTCTCCCATAGCTGGTATTGTCAGGTGGTTTGGGATGTTCGCCAACAGATGAGCATGACGTGATACCTACTTGTTTTCTTCGGACACTTCTGCGTGCTGTGCTGCCACACGGGCTGTTGCGGAAAGCGCGGGGACCCGCCTCCCTCCCTGAACCCCGTGGACTCACATCTAGAAGTGGGAACCGTGGGGTTTTCTTGACATAGCTGTCGGGAGGAGTCGTCACAGTCATCTGTACGGTGTTCTTCCCTCTTTCCCTTCCCTCTGCCACACGCCCCCTAAAATAAGTGTTGGAATTAATGAACATTTAAGGTGATTTTTCTTTTGTGTGTTTATTACTCAGGCATATCCAGTGGTAGCAAAGACAACACAGAAGCCGTAAGAGGTCACAGTGTTGAAGCAAATTCTAAAGAGGTGGGTTTTCCTAATTTAGAATTACGGATATCACGTTTGATATAGAGAGACTTCACCTGTGCACAAAGGCTTTCCTTCTTGGTGTATCTGAAAAACACAGTGGAGTGGTGAGAGTTCTCCCTGGCACTTGCATCTGTGTGTGCTCATGTGACTAATGTCCAGGTGACTGACAGATCCCACGGTCACTGGACGTGCCCGTGTGGTGCGCTCAGGCGTACTTCTGCGTTTCCTGCCTTCCATCGGCCCTTCCATGGGCACTAGAAGAGAAACACTGCCAGTTAGAGCATGACATGCTATCGATGATCGGGCATAGGGTGACCTCAGAGATGGTAAAATAAGAACTGCTTTTTTTCAATGTAATCTAGAACTGTTGAAATACAGTATGTAACCAGAAACAGATTTGACTATTGTGTATGGATTTACGTTAGCATAAAAAAAAGACTCAAGCTTAGTCTAATTCAAATCTAGGTGCCAGAAGTGTTATTCTAGACTTTTAAAAAGTATACAAAAACATGTTCCAAAGGCGAAAAGCTAATACGCCCATTTCAGTAGACAGGATGCAAATTTCAGTGCCTCTAACAGCATCATTCTTAATTCCAGGTGGAAGAGAAGGAAAGGCCTACACCTAAGAGAAAAAGAAAGAAGCATTGCCCCTCTTCAGAAGATGAACTGGGTATTTAGAGTATACATCTTCCTAGTTCAGACATCTTTGAAAATCATACTATTTTCACATGCAAAATAGTGGGCTAATGACAGAAAATCTAAAGCAGGGGTGTCCAGCTCATGTTCACCGGGGGGCCACGTCAGCCTCCAGGTTGCCTTCAAAGGGTCGAATGTAATTTTAGGCTTGTGCAAATGTAACTGCTCCTTAACTGTTAAGGAGTTGAGATTCCTTGTTCAGAAGTTCAAATACTTCTGGGGACTCTGCCCACCCTAAGCCTTTTCCATAAAATGGCTGTGTTTTGGTGTTGTGAGCATTTGTGGGGTTTTATAATATTTTTTTAAAGATTTTATTTATTTTTATTTTTAGAGAGGGAAGGGAGGAAGAGAGAGAGAGAAACATCAATGTGCAGTTGCTGGGGGTCATGGCCTGCAACCCAGGCATGTGCCCTGACTGTGAATCGAACCTGCGACACTTTGGTTCGCAGCCCGCGCTCTATCCACTGAGCTACACCAGCCAGGGCGGGTTTTATATTATTATTTATTAATTTTGGGCTTGGCCAAGGCCAAGGCCTATCTGTGTTCAGTGCTCATATCACATATTAAACGAACTTTTGGAATCACTAGCTTCACTGCATCAGAAGCCTAAGAAAGAAGTCTCAAACTGTCTTAAAATAGAACTGTGCATTTCATTTTTCATTTAGTTTTGTATTCCTTTGTGATTCTGTCCAAACTGATTTACAGATGATAATTCAGATGCCCTGGATCCCAAAGTAGAAGCAGCACAGAAGCAACATTCTGAAACTGAGCCACGGGACACAAAGGTACTTTTTGCACATAATTCATTTTAAATTTTTGGAGTAACCTAATTATATCACTGTGAATACTTACATATTTTTTTCATTCTTTTATCCCTTTTACTTTATGTATTTCTAATAGTAATCTCTGTATTATAAAAGGTATATTTCTGGGCTCAAGAAAAACAACTATTGTACTTTATTTTCTTATTTTGATTTTTTTACATTTAATGTATTTGTTGTAAGATAGACACTAATAGAAATCCAGGAACAATTTTTTTCTTTTTTTTTTCTTTTTTATTTTTTTATTAAATTTATTGGGGTGACATTGGTTAATAAGATTATATAGGTTTTAAGTATAGATTTCTATATAATTTTATACCATATGATTATATTTTACCACAGTTTTAGATATAATCCTTGCTTAGATTTTGTTCATATTCTTGACTTCATTAGGTTTTTAGGTGCCTTCTTCCAAAGTGTGATGTGCTTTGTTACAGATACATATACACCAGATCAGTGAAATGCAGGAATGCGTGTTAATTTAAAATGTTAACGTCCTGCCTTCTCTCTACCTTACTCCCTGCCCCTAAATCACATGCTGTGCAAGGGTAGGCAGGACCCATTACCTTTTTCCCTGTGGTCTGCTTCCATCTTAGGGCTTACAGTGGTTTGTTTCTGCCTCACCTCCTCTTGTTCGAGGCCCAGCTTTCTCCATCCGCTGGCTGATACCGCTTTCGGGCTACTCGTCCGTTTCCGAGACTCGGTCCTCCTTAGTGCCTGTTCCAGACTTGCTCCCTCTCTTTGTTCTCTCTCTTTCCCTAATTTATTTGTTCCACCTTGTCCCTTGTTCCGAAAGGAGTTAAATCAGCTTGTAAAAATACATGCCGCTGCCTTCCAGGCACTAAAACGAGCTCAGAGTCCCTTTTGCCCTTAATAGCCGATGAACTAAATAAAAGGTAGTAAAAGAATTTTTAACCGCTAAAGAAAGTCAGTCACATATTATGAATTTCAACTGGCTGGAGCTGAGGAAGGAAGGGGCCTTGAAGGCCATCACCGCCCCGCTGCCCCCCAGACCAGCAGCCCTGAGACGATGCTCTCCGATTCACGGAGGAGCTGACTGAAGGGCGTCTTTCAATTTTCCCGTCATGTTCAGTAAAAAGTCACATGTGTAATACTTCAGTATCATAAAACAGCACTCTACCGTTAAGCCTTATTTATGTATTTTTGTTCATATGTTAGTATTATAATGTAAACATTCTGGTGTTTCATACTCAAAACTTTTTTGCAACCAAAGTGAGTAATTTAACTGGAGGGAGAGATCATTGCTGTCAGTCTGCCCCACGGAAGACCCTTCCAATTTATCCCTCCCTCCCAGGGGAAGAAGAAAATCTGTACAAGTTTCTATCTTCCTGTAGAATTTCCCTCTAAAAACATAAAATCCAGGGGGAGGGAGAAGAGTGATTTCAATTTTGCAGGGGCGAACAAAAAAGGAGCAGCCTTGGTGCTTTGTGGTTGAGTCTTATCTCATGTTCTTCTGCCCGCAGAATTTGTATCTTTTTTATAGTTTCACTAGCAGCAACAATAGTTACTTTTTTAAAGCAGTTTGCAACAAACTGTTTTGAAAGGCCACTGGGAAATTTGTTTTTGTAATAGAAAGGAAAACTTTGGGAGGATTACTGGAGGCAGTTTGAAAAAGAGACTTCTTGTTTAACTGCTCCGTAGGAAGAGAGCTCTCGGGATTTGGGAGAACGGTCTAAAACAAGTCCTAAGGCAAGCGGCACTGCTTCACGAGCCATGGAGGAGAGAGGTGAGTCCTGCACCCGCCGCGATAAACTGTGAGAGGAGGCTGACCCTGCAGGCAGCCTGCGCCTCTAGCCAGGGCTCACCACCCGAAACGGCACCCCCTCCTTCGCTCCCCTGCGACTGCCCAGTCACACGCTTGCTCAACATCTGTGGGGCTTGGCTGTCACTTCTCGCTCGGATCCAGTCCGACCCGAAGCGTGCCGCTTACCAGTTAACCGGACTCGGGCTCGTTAACTTGGGTGGCACGGGCCTGGGAGTGGAGTGCACGAGCGCGTGTGACGGGGACCGTGCCCGTCACCTGGGTGGCGTCCCGGCCGTGCGGCCGGCCGTGCCCCCAGCTGTGACTGAGCCCTGCCGTTCCCGCAGATGAGTACAGCAGCAGCGAAGCTGCTGGCGAAAAGACAGAGCACAATGACGACGACAACGCAAAATCGCAGGAGGTAAGGAAGGCTTTCTTATTTATTTCTCCTGATTAACTTAAGGACTAAAAACAAACGCGCTGAATGCTGTTACCTACATTTTCTTTGTTACTTTCCAAGGAGTAGAAGAAGCTATTTTTTAAGCACAGTGGGACACCATTTCATACAGGGTATTTTATCAGTGTCATTTTGATTAATTTTGTTCTTTTCATCTTCATTTTATCCAAACATTTGTATGAGACCTACTTCTGTTACAGCCGCATAGGATCCACCCAGAGCTGTGCCCCTTTGGCCACGTCAGGTTCCCGCCCTGGCAGCTTAGCGCAGCCGAGGCACACACCAGGTCAGGCCAGAGAGGGGGCGCTGCTGCGCCAGGAGTCTGGACAGGACAGAATGGAGGCAGCAGCAGCAGCAGGGGGTGCAGAAGGCCCACCAGCAGCCCCACCTGGGGCGCAGGTTCACACGGCCTCCTGGGAGGCTGCTCACTCCTGACCCGTTCAGATTTGCAGAGCCCAGTGGGGCCCAGGACTGCACTGGCCTGGGACAGGTCCCAGAACCAGGGGAGACAAGGGAAACAGCCTGTCCCCCAGCCAGATCTTCTGGATAACTGCTGCCAAGTTTGCCAGTCTTGTAAATAGTCCCTTCTGTTTTCTCATACTTGTGTATGAGAAGATCAGTGACCTCCTCTATTCTTCATAAGGAACGACGTTTGCTCACCAGTGGCCGAACTGACCCCCAGTTTACATGGATGTGCGTATTTTTGTTCCAGAAGTGAAAGCTGACTCAGATTGCTTACATGCGCTGTGTCACCTCAGAATCCTCAGGACTGCGGGTCCACACGCAGCTGCCCGTGCTGGAGGCGGGGGGGGGCCCTGAGGAAGGAGGCCCTGAGCCCCAGGACTCGAGACCTCTTAGACGGAAGTCTAAATCTCACTCATTATGAGAGAATGAGATGTTACTTGTGTGATAGAGGATGAAATTCATTTTTTTTCTTTTCCCTTTAGGAAGATCAGCCAGTAATTGTTAAAAGGAAAAGAGGAAGACCTCGTAAACACCCTGTAGAAACAACATTGAAAACAAGTAGGTACTTGGTGTATTTTTAGTTCACACAAGCAATTTTCAAGCTGAGTTTCTAAGTGAGATTTATTTTTGCATTTTTTAGAAGAAGACTGCAAAACAGATACTGGCACTGGCACTGTAAGTAATTGCAAAGATGAGAACTCTTTGAATGTTTGCTCTTGACCTAGAAAGGGTATACTGCAGCGTCTAATATTTTGAACAACTTTATTTTTAAAAAGTATTTGAAAAGCTCTAAACGACTTTTTTTAAATAACACATTAAATAATTGTTTGAATAATATCTGATTACTAATATTTTACATAAGCATTATTAGTTTTTCAGTCTGATTCCTTCCTCACTTGTGAGTTTGATTACATACAGATTTTCTAGGGACTTCCCCTGTTGTGGTCTCCCGTCATTAAAATACAGAAATCTGCTGTGTTACATGGTTTCAGGTAGTGGCTTCTTTAGGGAAATTGCTAATGCCTCACCGTGTTCCTACTTTCTGTGGCATTCCTTTTGTAATAAATTGTACCCTGATTTCACTGCAGAAAATTCCTCAGTGATACGTGCTCTTTTTAAACATTCTTTATCTCTGACCCTGAAGTACATGGCCAACTGAATCATTGTGTCAGGATCTCGCTGCATGAGTTTCAGGGACATTATTAGAAGGACAGACCTGTGTCCGCTGACCTAACAAAAGCACGTGGGATTCAAGCCCCAGCTCTGCACTGACTCCCAGCCCTGTGGCACCGAGACCCTTTTGGGACTCCGTTTCCTTGGAGACCACAGACTTACTGTAAGACGACAAAACTGAAGGGGCACGTGTGAGTGCGTTTCCCGTTGTGTGAGCTGGTTCGCTGGGGCTGGGACTGCTAGCACTGGGCCGTGCTACGTGTCCTCCGGTGCAGGGACTGGAGTGACCGGGGAGGGGGCCGAGGCAGCCCCGATAGAAGCACGGCGCCCACGTTCCCTTGGTGCACGTCCACCTCCCCACCTGCAGAAAAGAGGACCCAGGTGTTCTGCCTGCATAATAAGCAGCAGTCCTGACCTTTCCTTCTAGGGGGTGATGACAAACTGCAGGCTTCAGTGCTCTGTTTGTTTCTTTCAATGCAGGTAGAACAGTCTCCACCTGGCGGCAAAGTGAAAGGAATGCAAACAGGTCTGTGCCGACTGCGTTGCACTGTGTGTGATGTGAGGGGGGGCACGGGAGGCTGTTGGGGTGGCTTTTACAGTTTTTCGTTGCTTCTCGCTGAAGTGTTTTTGGTAAAAACAGTTGTTCTTATGGCCATGAGAGACTGTGCATATTGGCCTCTCCTGTGATCTGAGCCTTTCTCAGTGTTAGAAGTCTGGGGAGCTCTCAGAGAGGAGGATGAAGGCAAGAAAAAGCAAAGCAGGCAAGGCACTGTGCCGTGTGCAAACCACAGTCCACTGGGCCTGTGGGAGGGAGAGGTAGCGAGGCTGGGGACGGGGCACTCTTAGCACGTAGACACTAGTTCAGCTCAAGAGCCTGTTGTTCTCAGAGGAATTCTGAAAGCAGCCTTTGCAGCTTACAAAGCTTGGATACAAGAGATAAAAGAGTTTCACGTGGTTTTGTCCTTGTTCCAAACGAACGTTGATAATAGTTGATAATAATTCGTTCTGGGTGATGGGATGCTGAGAATATTCCATGTTATTTGTTAGTGTTGCCTACATTTTCCAGAATGTTTCACAATGCATATATATTTATTTCATGGTTTAGTAACTTACATAAAAGCAAGAAAATCCTCCAGTGGGTTTTAAAGGGTTGACATAGGCAAAAAAGTGAGGGAGGCAGCTACTTTGGACCAAATAAGCAGCGTGGTCAGGTCAGGAGGGGGCGTACTCCAGTCACCAGGGGCAAGCAGGTGCAGGCTGGGACAGCATCGCCACAGTTACCTGTGTGACCTGGGAACCACACTCCAGTTCCTCTCCTGTCTTGGAAAACAAGGTTTGTTGCTTGCTTGCTTAGTTTCTTTTTTTTCATTTCATTTTGTTTTTCCCGCATCAGCACATTGCAGCGTAACATCAGGTTTCGGTTGGTTACTTTCTTTGTTTTAAAAAGGAGATTCTGCTTATGTTGGGCTTTTAACCAATTTTGAGTCACAATATCATAGTATTTTAAATCCATATAAAAAGGACTTACGTAACCTGAATGCCCTTTAAAACTCAGATTGAAGCAGTGCAGGTATGTTCGGGTTGTTGTTCAGCAGTAGTTCTCTGAACCTGGGTAATGGTGACCAGCGTAAGACAGGATTCTTCTCCACTGGCCTTTCTCTTGGATCAGCTCTCCTGTGCATGTTCGTGTGGAACATACTGAACTCAAGAAAAGGGCAGCTGCTGTAGCCTCACCACTAAGGAGAAGTGTCTGTGTTGTGGAGTGTCCTATGAGTATCCCATAATTCTAGCTACTTGAAGATAGTATATTGAACTAAACTTTACTTTTCTTACCAAGATCCAGTCTCAGAAAATTTTAGCACGTACAGAAAGCAAAATACATAAAGAACAGGCAAATACAACCTGGCACAGTCTTATAATACAAATTTATTAGTTACCGTAATGTAAGTACGTAGGCAAAGAATTCCAGCTCCTCAGTTATGTGAGTCTGAGCACATTGCTTAAGTTCCTGGAGCCTCATTCTTCCTAAATGTGAGGTGGGATTGTAGCACTTACAGAGCAACATCGAGACTTCGGTGACGCCTGCAGTCCTGACCTGCAGTTCCCAGTGCATTCTGGGGGATCCCTCAGTGTCCCCTCCTCCTCCCTTTCTGGGTTCAGAGCATTTGAGCGGAACCCAGCTGCTTCTCCTACATGTGGAAACGGAGGCTTGGGGAATTTGAGTCATTTGCCCACATCGCATAGCTTATTAATGACAAATCTTCAGTGTCTTCTACCGGCAGGCATTCCGACGTGCCAGTTGTTCTGACTCAGGCTCTACTTGGCTAATACGACACAACGGTGAATTGTATAGAAATGCGTTAATTGCACTGGTATATTCGTGGACCACCAGCCGGACTGTTGGCATTTAGCCTTGCACTAATCAAGTGTTAATGCAGAGATCTCCCTTTTCTTAAAGATGAGGCCAATAAGGAGACCGGGGCCCTGCAAGAGAGAAGCGCAAGCAATGTAAGTGTTGATTTTCTTGTCGAGACACGTCTTTGAGAAATAAGCGCAGTGCACGCGAGGTGGACTGCTCTGTCAACGCGGATGTCGCTCTTGCAGGACGACGGTGAGGAGAAGACGGTGGCGAGCGGGCGCCGCAGGGGAAGGAAGCCCAAGCGCTCGCTCACTTCGTCCGACGACGCTGGTACGTCCCGAGCAGGTGCTTGACTGCGGGGCCTTGTTATTCCAGAACCGCCTCTCTGAGAGCTTTCCTCTGGGTGAGGGGAAAGTCAGCGGGGTGCAGCTAGCATTAATATTACATAAATACGTGTGAAATGGCTCTAATCCCGTGTCAGAAATGGCACATCCCAGATGCGTTCCTGAGAGCACGCGAGGCTGCGTGAGTGCTGGCCGTGAACCGCCTAAGTAAACTCTCCCGACTGTGTTTGAGGCTAAGCTAAACAGTGCTGGGCGGCGAGGGCTGCAGCAGAGAGGAAGTGGAAAAGCACTCCTGCCTGTGAGGCCCTAGCACCCTGCGTCCCGAACCCCGTGACTCGGGCCTCTTGAAGCGTCTTTGGGGATTGTGCGATCCAGGTGTCCCCTTCCGTTTGAACAGAATCCTCAGAACCAGAAAGAAAACGCCAGAAGTCCATTTCTGAAGCAGCCGAGGACAAGAAAGACCAGGAGTCAGAGGAGGAGGAGGAAGAGGAGGAAGAGGAGGAGCCCTCCGGAGCCACCACCAGGTCTGCTGCCAGATCCGAGGCTCAGAGGTGAGGGGCAGAGCAGAGCTTCCAGAGACCCCTCCCCGCTCCCCTGCCAGGAAGCAGCTCGCGTGTCCCGGGTCGCGTCCAGAGGTGCACTGGTGCCGCGCGCGAGCTGTGCTCTTCTCTTCCCCTCGTCTCCAGCAGGCCGCGCGCGCTCTGGGCCCTCTGGCCTGTTGGTTCTCCTTGGAGAGCCTGGCGTCCGTCTCAAACCGTGATTGAGGTTTGCTGCAGAGTCTCTGCCATGCTGGGTACCCGTGGGGTGCAGCCCATTCAGTTCTTGTACAGTATTTACCGCTCGTGAGTGCTCCTCTCGGACGCGCGGACCCCTGTGGGGAAAACACGGAGTCCCTCCCAGCGGCAGGCTCCATCCGGGCGGGGGCCATCTCTGCAGGAGGCGCCTCTAGCCAGTGCCACGGACAGGTTGGTCGCGTGCAGTTGCCCACGTGTGACCGTTTTTAACTTGAATAACTGGTTATTTCGTGTTTCCCAAACCCTAGCATAGCTGGAAGCCTCTGGAAAAGAGTGCCGTGGCAGATGAGTTTGCGCAGTGCCCGTGACCTCTCTCCTTAAGCCCCGGTGTGCGAGGAAATAGTCAGGGCTGGGCACAGCCCCGCGGGGAGGGAGCCCGCCCGCTTGGCCTGGGCACTCGGTGTGCCCAGGACACAGGACACGCCGCACCGCAGCCTGGTCGTTACACCGAGGAGCATCCGGCAGTGCTCCCCTCCCCCGCCCCCGGTGGCACTTCTGAGAGAGATCACGTCAGTTTACAGTTGTCGTGACCTTTTCTAAAGTGAGGGCGTTTTCCGCTTTTAATGTGGTTCACAGCCTGGTAAGGTATCGTCGGTAATTTCCTTATTCAAGATTAATTAAGTTCACGAATATTTATTTCCAGAGAGTATCACCTACTAACCCCTGTCATGGTGGTGTCTTATGTTTACATAAAGACTTAAAAGTCTCCTGATTTCTAATTCCGACCTTGGACTTTAGCAGCCCATCGCGTCGTGGTGCACTTCCTCAGAGGTCAGGTTCTAGAGCCGGACGTCTTCAGGTGCTCACAAGGCTAGAGGGGAAGTGGAGGTTTCGTATTCCTGTGCCAGGGGAGGCAGTTCAGGTAGATAGAAGGTAAACAGAAGTCAGAATTGAGATTCCTGTTGATAGGAGAGGGTCGGGGTGCTGGAGCCCAGCGCCCCTGCATTCGGGTGCGGGACACCCCACCAGCACCGCCACCCCCCCCAACCCCCCCACCCCCGTCTTAAAAACCGTGGAAAGATCGCCTGGTGCCGTACAGCCCATCTCAGAAAGCTCCACAGGCCGTCCAGGCACCTTCAAGGGAGTGTCCAGAAGGAGCTGTCACATTTGCCTTTTAAAATTCATTCCTCAAAAATCAGTGTTACCTGACTTACGGTTTTATAATCACCTGGATTTATCAATGTTCTTCCTTAATGTGCTTGGTTTACAAATGAATTCTTTCCTCTTCGGTTCAGATTCCTTGGCCTTAGTTGATTGGTCCTGGCTTCTCGGGAGGGGGCAGGCTGGGCTGTGGGCGGGTCAGCACCGGAAACGATCAGTGCCTCAGTCACTGCGCCAGCATGTACCACGGAGCCGCCGCCTCCTGGCCCTGTGTCCTGGCCCAGTGGGAGCCAGCCCCTCCGCAGCTTCTACTCTTGGGGTGGGGCCTCCGTCCAGCTTCCCCTCGGACACTGGAGGGCAGCTGCTGGGCTTCTCTTCTCGTCTGAGCCCCGCCTCGCCCCGTCCCCAGTTTGTCTGGCTGCTCTTTAAGAAGCAGATGCTGGCCCTGGCTGGCGTAGCTCAGTGGATTGAGCGCGGGCTGGGAACTAAAGTGTCCCAGGTTCGATTCCCAGCCAGGGTACATTCCTGGGTTGCAGGCCATAACCCCCAGCAACCGCACATTGATGTCTGTCTGTCTGTCTGTCTGTCTCTCTCCCTCCCTCCCTTCCCTCTCTAAAAATAAATAAATAAAAAATCAAAGAAGCAGATGCTGTGCACCGGGTACAGGCTGACGCACACGAAGGAGGCCTGTCCCACCTCACGCCCTGGGCTCTGTGCTTCAGCGTGCGTCCATCCTGAGTGCCCTCACCTTGACCTTCGCGCTCGCTCAGCAAGTCCTTGTTCTTAGCGTTTTTTTGCTGGCGACTCGGGTCTGCCATCACCTGACTCGTGTGGTTGACCACGTGGACCGGTTACAGGGCCTCGGCACCCAGCCTTGTGAATCTGTGCTTCCTGACCTCGGCCCTTTTCTTGTCTCACGGGCACCTCTGAGGTCTTACCTTGTCGCCAGTGCGTTTTCTGAGTGTCACAGATTCTTCGTCCTCTGCGTCACTGCACACTCTCGCACAGTCAGGGCAAAGCAGCCGCAGATGACATGGGGTCAGCTTATTAACTGCGTCCCAGAGGGCCAGCTGTTTTCCTGCTTTCGGTCCGTATTCTCTGGCTCACCCCAGGAGCCTCGTCCTCTGAAGCGCCCGAGGGCCTGCCGCCCAGGGCAGCCGCCGCCCAGGGCTTCTGCACTCTAGTTCGGAGAGCGCCGGGGTGAGCCACCTGCAGGGTCTCCTAGAAATCTCCGAAAACCAGCCAGAGGGAAGGTACCCACCGGTGTAAAAGTCAGTCTGCCCCACTCTGTGAGGGAAGTCCCTGCTCACACTTCAGGTCATTTTCAATCCCCTGAGACTACTGCGGACACGGCCGCACTTTCTCCCAGAGCTCCTTGACCTCCGTCTCACCGAGTAACTCTGGGGATCACTGCCTTCCCGGATGGACACCCATCCAGATGCGATGGCGAGGGTGCAAAGGGAGTCTCCCGTCAGGGTCCCCTGCACAGGCCTGTCCTCAGCACCTGTGAGCCTCACACGCGCCGCCTGTCCGCCAGGACGGAAGGCGAGGCGCGCTTTTCCTGAGTGATCACAGATCTGGCTGCCTGGTTAGGTCAGCGCCGCACGGTGGAGCCGGTGCTGGCCCACAGCCATTTCTGCTTCCGCCGGAGCTGGAGAGGCCAGGGAGTGAGGGTGCGGCGCCGCCGGGGCCCTCCCACCGCCAGCTTGGCTGCCCCCCACGGGCTGAGCTGGGTCCTGCTCCGCTGCAGACGCTGGTGCCGCTCTTGCTTGAGTGCCCCCCATCCCCATGCCCACGCCCACCCCCACGTGCAGGCCGGCGGTCTCCAGCTCCCCTTCCCGCTGCACTCCGGGTCAGGCTGCGCCGGTGGCGCGGTGTGTGCCGTCCCTTTATTAGCTGTGTTCTCCCTCTGGGCTAGAAGCTCATTTGCTGAGAGCAGGGACTGTCTTACTCTCTGTGAGTCGTAGCATCAGGAAGTGCCAGGCCCTCACGGTGCACAGGCCCCGCCCCGCCGTCTCGTGCCACGTGGACCTCCACAGCAGACCTGTAACGCCTGGTGTGCTGTCGTCCCCGTGCACAGAGAGGGCGTCCAGCTCAAGGGCCAGGCTGCGTGCACGTAGACTCTTCCGTGAACCCTTGTCAAGTAAAATGTGGCTTTCCTTGTTTTTTATGTGAGGAGAATCTTAGGAAGATCTGTCCATTATTTCTTAAAGTGTGCAGACCTATCAGGGAGGCTCTTTTGAAGACTCAGGCTCTGATTCTGGGGGGTCGGGGGACTGGGTGGGGGGTGCAGCTGGGTGGGGCCTGAGAGGCTGCACTTGTAGCAAGCTCCAGGTGATGCCAGTGTGCTGGTCAGACCACACTCTGGGTGGAGAGGGACGCCTGGTGACCCCCTCCTGCCCCCCCCACTCCCCTGGCTCGTGTCACGAGGAGAAGCACACCGACCCTACTTGACCCTATGCTTCTTTCTCTGCTGCACGGCACCTGGCACAGCGCCAGACCCCCACCTGCCCAGTACACAGGGCTCGGTTCCTGACAGGTGGCTGCCCTGGACTCGGTTCATAGTGGGCCGTGGTCAACCCAGAGTGGGTGAAAGGTGCTGGAACTCTGTCATGTGCACCCATATTTGACTCAGTTTGAGTTTATTTACTTTCGCTGTCAACGGGCCAGTAAGCAAACATGCCTTCCTGTGGGTGAAGTCCCGTTTCTCCATCCCCTGCGGGTTCAGCTTCCCGGGTGCTGACTCAGTGCCAGGCACTGGACCCCTGGGAGCTGACCGAAGCCCAGCCGCTGCCCTGGAGACGCGCCCTGTCTCGTGGGGGAGACCCGCGCGTGGGACTCCCCAGCCCTTCTGACAGCAGCACACAGCAAGGACGCGTTCTACATGCAGTACTGCTCCTGCAGGTGAAGCCGGCCTCCCATGAGCCCGACGTAAAGGAAGTGACACCGGGGGTGTTTCCTGTGTGCTCTGTTCAAACTGTGTTTCAAAGTAGTGCCTGTAGCCTGCCACTGGGAGAAGCACGGTGGGGGGATCACAGTGGTCAGTGCTGCGGGACGTCCAGAGAGCAGCTTCCCCAGGAGCTGCTCTTCTCTGGGGCCTAACGTGAGGGTTGCCCGATGGGAGGTGTGCTGTGACTCTCCCCCCCGCCCAAAACTCACACGCCAGAGCATGAAGTGTGAGAGAGCACTGTGTGTTTGGCGGGACTGTGGGCAGATGGTGCCGAGTCGAGCGTGTATGAGCCAGGACTTGGTGGGTTCTGCTCTGGGTGACTGCATCCTGAGAGCATCACCGAGGCAGAGGTGGAGACGCGCGTGGCGATGGGCATCCCCGTGGCAGAGACGCGATTGCCTGGAGCTGCCCGCAGAGAGTCCTGGTAGCGCGTGCAGGCAGGCCTGGACTGCGGGCGGGGAGAGCGTGGAGCGCGTCTGCTGGGGCGCCGCCCACTGTCGGCTGAGGCTGCACTTGCTGGGGCGGAGGAGTTTCGAGCCTGCTGTGCTCTGTTCTTGCCGGTTGTTTCCGCTTGGGGCAGCGTGTGGGGGAATGGCCGCCGGTTATTTCACGGGCAGAACAGCTGAGCCCAGAGAGGAAGGTCAGCTGGACCGAGGCAGCACCTGGAGCTGGCCCAGCACCTGGAGCGTGGCCCAGCTGGAGCCGGAGCACCGGCCTCCGACTGCTCTGGGGGTGGGGCAGTCTGCAGATAACCGCTCGGCCCGGGCTCTCCTAGACTCTGTCTCCTTTTCCTGCATGTAAACCTTACCCCGGTTTTCTTTTCCCGGCTCTCAAGTTCAGAAGTCTTTTTTTTTTTAAAGAACTCCCAAATCATGTGAAGCAGGTCCTGCTAACTCTCACCGCTGCCTGACTTGTGTCTGCTGCAGGTCAAAGGCGCAGCAGTCCCCTCCCACCAAACGCAAGAGGGAGGCCAGCCCCCCGGGGGCCCGCACGCGGGGCCAGCAGCAGCGGGCGGAGGAGGCCCCCGGGAAGAAGGCGAAGCGGTAATCCCGAGCGGACGCGTGGACGCGTGGCGGAGACGGAGGAAGCTCCAGCCTCGGGCGCGGGCGTTTTTGTTGTAACGGGGAAAGGACTGCATGTGCTCCCAGTTCCTAGGTTCAGGCTTGTTCTGTTCTGTTTTCAGTGGCTTTATAAACTGTTGTCCATAGAAGATAGACACTATGTACATTTATTTCAGATAAAGGAAAATAAGTTTACTTTGTATCAACTCAAAGCAAAGTAGTTGTATATTTTAACATTGGACATTGGGATTTCCCGATGGGGCACATCGCGGCCGCAAACCCGTCAGCCCATCCGACACCAGGCTGCCTCCCGGCCATCTGTGTACAGTATATAAACATGTAAAAATAGGTTGTATTTTACTCTGTGTATGATGCTAATCAATGAACACTTTATTTATTTTACAGAGAAAACTTATCTGTGAACTTTACTATATATCTGTTTATTTTATTTTATTATTTTTTTAATTACAAAAAAGGATTTTAAATGCTATGCAGTCACTAGTAGCAGTGTTTTAGGACTGCCCGCCTGTACCCATGAATCTGATCGGGCAGGAGATGCAGAGCCTTCTCGCATGTGTCCAAGTGAAGTAGTTTAGCTCAAGGGGCTCCATGGCCTTTCTGTTCACAGGTGTGACTTTTTTTAGGAATGTCACATGTTTTTAAATTATACTCTCATCTGTGACTTCAACTACCAGCCCCACTGGTGAAAGAGGCTCCGGTTCAGGTCAAGTTACGTTTGTCACCTGCTGCAGAAACGCCCTCCCCGCCCCTGACCCCGCCCCGGCCCCGCCCCCAGGCTGTGTCCCCGCCCCTGGCCCCGCCCCCAGGCTGTGTCCCCCGCCCCTGGCCCCGCCCCCAGGCTGTGTCCCCGCCTCTCTGCTGTTCCGAGGCGTCCCCGTGTTCTCTCCCCACCGCCGTTCCCGGAGAAGAGCAATGCTCTGGAGACCGGGCCCCTCCTGCCATGCTCCGGGGTTTTATGTTGTTTCCTATGTAGCTATTACAGGCTAGAAACTGGCTTCACTGCCAGATCCTTTTTTAAACATCGTTAGTCTCCCATGTGAGCAGACTGTCCAACTTATGTTTTTCATAAGATTAAAGTTTTCTTAAGATCAAATGTGTCTCTAGCAATGATGTGATGAGTTGCCAAATAATTGAGATTATTTTAAAATGTTTTATTCATATTCTTGTTTTGTAATTAAAATTTACATTCAGTGTGTGAATTTTTTTTGACGCAATGTAAAGTGGATATTTCTGTCATTTTACATGGTTTCTTACTGAGATTTTATATATAAATTATAAAATGTTTCCCAAAAACTTGAGTAGTAAGATGTTTTTCTTCTCTGAACTTCGGAATGACTCCCTGTGAAAACCGTTTCTTCCCTGTAACTGATTTGTCGCAGCCGTATTGTTCCATGTTCACATTTAAACGGAGCCGTGGATGGCATGGCTCGGGAGAGTCAGACACGAGAGGCCAGCAGGTGGCGCTGCTCCTGGGACCAGACCGCACCTCGGACCGGCAAGGCTGAGGCTGAACTGTCTGCAAACCCCAGGCCAGGGTTCTCCCTGCTCAGCCGCAGGGGAGGGAGGCACCATGTCCACCCGGAAGGCAGGCTCCCGAGCCACGATACAGGGCTTCTGCCCAAACATCTAGGCAGCTGACAAAACCTAACTGGTTTGGTCACAGAGTGGGAAAATTGGAACTCAAACAAATGCTGAAAAAAGGTTCTGTGCTTATTCTTCTGCTTCACTTTGATTTTCGTCTGTTTATTGTCCATCTATTGTGCAAGAGTATCTTACATTTCCTAAAATTGCTGCTTGGCTGTCTTTGTGATTAAGTCAAGAGCAAGAAGTTTTCACGCTACGCTGACACGGACAATTTTCTCAGGGGAGGGGAACGTGGTCTAGCCAGGCTTTTCCCCTGGACTGCCATTCTGGGAAGTGCACAGGTGATGGGCCCCGACTCCATGCCCAGCATTGGGGGTGCAAGATGGAGCTACTCAAAATCTGAGTTTACAGCCCTCCCACCGGATCCCTAATGTGTCAGATCGCTGCAGACGCTGCAAAAGGAATTCTGCAGTCTACTCTGAAAAACTGGTACTTCGATAAATAAGGGGAGGAACCAGGATATAAAGAAACAAAAAACCCTTAGAAGGTCAATGGGGCCTGGAGAGACAAAACTCAATAGTTCAGCGCTGGCTGGTGTGGCTCAGTGGATTGAGTGCCAGCCTGTGAACCAAAGGGTTGCTGGTTCGATTCCCAGTCAGGGCACATGCCTGGGTAGCAGGGCCAGGTCCCCAGTAGGGGATGCACAAGAGGCAACCACACTGATGTTTCTCTCCTGCCCTTCTCTCTCTAAAAATAAATCTTTTTTGAAAAATCAAAGATGGAGAGGATCATTTGTAATCCCACAAGTCAGATCTATTACCTCTCATGGGTAATTCCTTTGGACTTTCTTTGATTTACATATATGCAAAACCTACACTCCACCAAATCTAAGATGCTATAGGCAATAAAAATTCATCCTTTTTCTTTCCTACTAAGGAAAATAAAACTGACACAGAAATGAATTAATCTGTCATACCCACTTGCTTTGAAATGTCATTCCTCAATTCCTTCCACCTCTAGCTGGGTGGCTGGGCATGGATTAGATAATCCTTCGAGCGTATCTCCGGAGCAAAACACAAAAGCATCACCAGCTTATGGATATTCTTTCTCCGGTCTCAGTGCTTAGTCGTTGCTTTGGAAGAAACGGTAAAATCACAGCATTTTCTCGAACACTGAATATTTGCCTCGCCCTCACCAATACAAAGTGTATTTCTTGCTGTGAGGTTTCTGTGACTTTCTGAGGACACAGTGACATCAAGTCATAATGCCATCTTTTTAAAGAGATTCTGAATAATGTTTAAAATCAAAGAGCATGGAGCCAGTGATGCACATGATTCGGGTGTGACAAGCTATGACTGGTTATGAACAAGTTCATGCATGACAATGACATTGACAACTACAGCATACCTGCCACAGACCCAGTAACGATCTTAAGACGCACCCTAATTCCAGAGATGTTATGACGTGTGTAGGGGAAAGTGTGCCTTCCAGCTCACGAACTATGTAGATGTTTTGCAAAACAAGTTTCACATCTACCTTTTCATAGTCTTTGAAAAAAGATTATAGAATATTTGTGATAAAAATGCAGAGCTATTATATGCATGTATATAATGTACACATAGGTAATGTACATACATAATTATGATATAAAGAATTGTTTTTTAAAAATCCAATTTACCCACAATGCCTTGGAAGATTCCAGCATGCCCCCAAGACCTACCACCTTTCTAATTACAGGTTTATCATTTTACTACATATGTAAATAATACAATTTTAAACAATACTTTTAAGTTTTGAATGTTTCTGCACTTGATGCAAATAAGAGTCCTATTTTAAGGACCATTTGAATTGCTTTTTTCTTGCACCTGTGTTTTGAAAGTCCTCTGTGGTTAGTGTTATGTAGTTCAAGTTCATTCATTTTCACTTCTGTATAAGTATCCCATTTGAAGACTATATCACAGTACACTTAGCTGTTATTTACCTGTTCCTGGTCTTGGGGTTGTCAGGTTAAACAATACTTCCGTGAATATTCTATAAATATTTTGTGGGCAGGCACTCCCAGAGTTATTATCATCACTGTACATAGAGAAAAGGGTGTTTGTGGGCCCGTTGAGGTGAACGTGGGAGGACGAAGCTGGCTGCTGCCCAGGGAGACATGAGCCTGTGAACCAGAGGACCAGACCGCTCCGCCGCTTCGCCGCCTCCAGCTCCAGCACAGCCCCACCCCCACGCCGCGACCTCCAGCTTTCCGCTGCAGGGTGCAAGGGCTCACTCCTAGGGGAGGCACATTTTCAGGTTTGCGAGACAGTGCCAAGCCGTGTCCCGCATGCTGTCACCGCAGTGAATTCCCGCAGGCAGCACACCTGTCTTCCTTGACGTCTCGAGGGACAGGACTTCTTAGGCTCTGCCCGTCCGGTGGAGGAAAGTCTCCGCGGCCTTGGCTGCAAGGAGACCGAACATCTTCTCATGTTCCCATCCTTGTTTTCCTCTTCCGCGAAACGCCTGTCCACGTCCTCCGTCCATTTTGGTCTCCGTGTTTTCCTGGCTGACTTGTTGGAGTTCTTTATATAATCTTATGTAAAGGTAGAAACGTATCTTTACATATTCTAGGATAATAAACCTGTGTGTGTATGTGTTGTGAATACCCCCCAACACACACGTGTACACACATATGCACAGTGGGGACTTGATCTTTTCGCTTTCTTTATGGTACTTTTTGGTGAACGGATTTTAATTTTAATGGAATTAAATATAAATTTCATTCTGCGGTTAGTCCTTGTGCTTTGGCTTAAAATCACATATTCTCCTAAAGGCGTTGATGGTTTACGCCCCCCCACCATGTTTGTGGCACAGAGCAGACAGCAGGAGCTGTGCCCGCACGTGACCCCAGGAAGCCACGTGCCCAGAACAGGCTGGGCCAGCCCCGGCCGGGCACCCCTGGACCTTGAGAGACGATCCCCAGGCCAGAACGCCTGCTGCCGAAACTGATTCTCCAGGCAGACCGGCCTCCTCTGGCCGTTGTCCTGGGGGTGCCCCTCACTTCTCTTACCTTTGGGGTCCCTTAAGGCCGGTAGCCCACATCTTCCTCTTGCTCGTTCACTCCCACAGTTTGATTCTGAAAGCCCCAGGAGCATTCTGAGAAACAGCCTCTGCAACAACTAAGACTCAGACGGATGAGAGACCCTACCCAGCCCCAAGCTTGACTAATCCGAGGTTGTAAGTGGTTGCCGGGCCCAAGTGCAGCCCAGAGTCCCAGACAGCCTCCCTGCCTGCCCAGGGCTTTCTCATCGGGACGCACACGCCCCGACTGGCACACGGGGTCTCTGAAGGACACCTGCAGCTCCGCACACAGACGAAAGCCGCTGCAGAGACGGGAGATCTCAGGTGGTTCCAGAGCTTGTGCGATGCTTTCTTCGCAGGGAGCCCTGCCCCCCAAATCAGGGGATTCCAAGGGTTTTGCTTGTGGCTTGTGGCAGCCCTGGAGAGACCAGGCATCTCCCACTTGGGCCCTCCCCCAAGTACCAACCACCCGCTCCCCCTCTAGCTGTTTGTCTGAAGGCCCAACGCTGGAGGGAACAGGGGTTTTTGCTCCAGGTCAGTTGCTCCCGGTACCCGGGGTGTCCCTCACTGTTGGACTGAAGGCCAGATGCAGCATCTTCCTCCTGCCGCATCACAGTAGAGTGACTACTCTAGAGCTTGTGGTGGTCACCGGGCGGTCAGCTGTTAGAGACCACACCGGTTAGTTTAACAGGTCCTTCCATGCTGGGCAGGGGCTTCGAGAGCTATGGGAGGACAAAGAAGCACCAGGGCGACACGAGGTGATGTCGAGGAACTTCAGGAAGCAGCCCTCACGGTGCCCCTGGGCTCGGGGAGCAGAACGGAAGGCTGGGGGGTGGGGAGGCCCTGGGAGGGGAGGCCACGAAGAGCTGGGACCCAGAAGGGCGCTGCCTGTTTGGTGGCTTCTCAGACGGGACACCATGGCCCGTTCTCAGAGACTGGGGAATCTGGAGCCAGTGGCCCCTGCAAGCCGCTGTCCCTGCCAGGTGAAGGGCCATCTTGGCTGGGGGATGCTAATGGAAGGAAGGGTGGCCCAAGAAGAGGAAGCAAGTTCCTCCTCGAGCTTGAGCCTTCTGGTCTCTTTTTAGTGCCCCTGCTTGAGAGCAGTTGGGGAGCCAGCC